ACTTCTTGTCCGGTCCGGTCCGGTCCTGCCGGACCGGAGCCGGATTGCCGGACCGGTTCCAACTCTGCCTTGGCTCTTATCATAACAGTAAGGCAGCAACTAGTATGAACATTAATATGCAAATAGATAAGAATTTCCTTTTTCTTTTTTATAATGAACCACAACTGACAGTTTGACATGAATTCTGATTAACATCAGACGTTATTCCCATGTACTCTCCTCGAAATGTAATAACGAATCATATGTTTTGTGTCATTGCCGTCAACAAAATTATTGTTCTCGGCATTTAATTGAACACAATGATGTAAGTAATCATAACTTAAATTCTGTGATTGATGAAATCAATAAACTAGATCATGAAATTAAGACATTTAATGTTTGATCGTTAGTTGAAAATTATCGTCGAAAACTTGAACCGTGGCGTACAAAATCTCATCGTAAGAACGATCAATTTTTCACAAGAAAATTTCATGGACTTAATCGATTTGTCGATGAGAAATTCGATCATCAACGAATAGAAACGTATCACTTACAATCAAAAATGACTGAACTTACTCGTAAACAAGAAATAAATGATGAAGAATTCTACTCATTGGGACCGATTTTTGATAATCTTCGAACAGAAATAAATAATTTCAAACAAATATACAATCAAGTGAATACTCATCCACTACTAATAGATGACAGTTTACTTGATATCGACAATCCCAATGTACATAAGTTTAATCTATTGGCTCTATCAACAATTTATAAAACAGTCAACCATCCTCATGCAAGTTACGGAACACTAGCTAGTAATGATCAATTCATATTAATATATCTAGCACCAAACTTAATTTTGATTGATAAACAATTCAATATAGTCAAACAAGTTCTATGATCGTTTCAAGCAATTTCGAATATGTGTTGGTCGTCGACATTAGATCGATTTTTTATAATTGAAAAAAGTAAGATCTATCTTGTCAATGATCAGAAAATTGCTATCGACAATTTACGAATGACTGAACAGCGACTATGGCTCTCTTGCACATGTTCTAATACATCTCTTTTTTTTATCATTATTCGAAATAAGTTCATCAATTATGGAATTTAATCTGTTACTTTCGATCAAATTAGTCAACGAACGGAAATCTCCATATACATGTAAAACGGATGCATACATCGATGATATTGTTTATGATAACTTCGAACTTACTTTGATAATGACGAATAGATTCGAGAAATCTGTACGCATGGAATTAAAATTATCTAAGACACTTCAACATATCTGGTCACTTCAAATTGATATTGTATGTTATTAAAACAAGTCATTTCGTTGTTGTTCGGTCAATTTTAATGGATGGTTACTGGCTGATTATCAGAGTCGACGTCTATTTCATATCAAGAAAGATGGATATTTGAAGACAATGATAACGTCAAGGGGGAACAACGAGACTTCAGAAGTGCGTACTTCACTGATACTTCATTGTTACTTCGCCTTTACTTCACTCGTACTTCACTGTACTTAACTCGTACTTCACATTTTTTTGGAAGTAGATGAAGTCTCACTTTTTTTTCCTTCTATCTACCACATTAAAGATAATATAGACATTAAAAAATGGTGAAAATCGAGATTGAAAATTGATTCGGAACCAATGGATGATGATAGTCAAACTGACATGATAACATCCAAACAATAATTAAAAAAAAGGAAGCAATAAGTCAATTACGTCAACGATCGAATTTAAAGACAAATAATAAAAAGGAAATCGACAATGAAGAAAATTGGTTAAAATGAAAAACGTTGATGACGAAAGAAGACGTTTTAACTTATTTTATCGTTCCTGATGTTGATACAAAATATTTATGTTTAAATTATAAAAAGCTATATCTACTTCTGTTTCTTTACTTTTCTTGCCTACTGGAGAAGTCTATAGACATAGTGGTAGTTGTTAATTATCGAATAATTCAACTTATAAAATGGAAAACTGATCATTCCAGTATTTTTTAAACAGATTGTACGGGAGAGGCAGGTATATTTAGTTTCATAGCTTTTTCAGAAGGATCATTCCAGTTTTTGTTGACTATTGTGGAGTATGCGTTTAAGGGGGAACCCCCCCTTCGAAAGTCGTTTTTTCCTTGAAAAGTCGATTTTTGGAAAAACACATCTTCTTGTAGCCCCAAGTGTCCTCTTTCAGAATATGTATAAACTATATAGGAATGGAACATATTTTGCCCAATTTTGGCAAGTTTACTGGACGCTATAATGGAAAATCGGCTGTCTTGTTGATTTTCTTTCTTAATTATCGGTAACTAATATCGTTCTACCTTCTTTATTAGCACTCTAAAACCATTACCGTATCGAGTAATCATGTTTTGGATGTTGCAGTCTTATAAGAAAGGTTCAAAATTAGGCTATTTTTCGAAAAGATGGCGCTACAGTGAACTTTGATTCAGAAATTAGCTTAAGAAATCGGCTTATTTTTTTCTTGAAAATACTGCCAACTGTAAGAACTTTTTGTGCGCTTTTCAGTGATATATAATATGCTCGAATTCTCTCTGCAAGAAGATCATCAACTACGTCGCAATGTTGTTATTCGTTTTTCTCAGCTTCACTTTTTTATCGTTTTCTGACCATTGCGGAACATTTTCCCAGTTCACCGCTTGATGTACTCTGCTGATTTTTATTTATTTAAAAGATGAGACTTTTTTCTAGAAATTGTCGGAACAGATTTTCAAAATATATCTCCATTGTTTAGATATTTGAAAATCTTTGAAAGTGCTCAAAGCAGTTTTTGCGATTTTCGGTTTAAAATGATTACTACAATTGAACGAAAACGAATTTCAAAAAACTGTTCCTACAATTTCTAGATAAAAGATTTTTCTTCATTTTGAAACAAAGTTCAACATTTTTCATGCTACCGCGCATCGGGAAAATGTTCCGTGCCAAAACCCCCGTTTTCATGAGTAAATTGAGTATAGCTTCTTAATTATCAAAAATGATTGGTTGAAATTTTTATCAGATGCTAGTTACATTAGCTTTTCTATTTCCTGAAATTTTCATCGAAATCTGTTGTATCGTTTAGAAGATAGGTTTCGGAGGGGGGGTTCCCCCTTAATTCGTTTTATTAGAAGAACACTAAGAGGTTCCCTAATAAATTAAACACAAAATTAACATATAAGTGGTTTCATATTGCTATGCGTTTTTAGGATTTAATGCGAAAGCCAAAGTAGCCTAAGAAAATGTTAGTTCAATAATTTTCAACGTTGAATTAACCCTTTCTACAGTTGTTTTCTGCTTCTGAAGCGAACAAAGTCTACTTCTTACACCTCGATCATAGTTAAGAGTATGTTTTTTCAGCTTTTTAGATCTAATATGACTAAGGATACAAATCTTAGACGACATCTGAGCAATGTTTATAATTTGAGTGATTTGTTATCTTTCACAAATATTGGCCAAACTAGTCCAACATTAATTTCCAGTAAATGGATCGATAAACTGTATGATGCTATTATTGAAGCCATCTACGTAGATGATCGGTCATTTAACGACTTCAGGAATACTAAAACATAGAACTTTTTTGAACATATTAATTCCAAGATATAGTCGAAAAAGAATTGAGTTGCTTCATTTGATTTAGTGTTCATGTTTTCTCTTCAAATATCGCACATCTAGTCGAAAACTGTACATCTTCAAGTTGGACCGTTACATAACAATTATTGTAAAGAACTTACACAACAATGAAGAGCAGTGTCCGATATTCACACTGCAATCTATGAGAATCTTCGATAAGAGAATGCTATTTTTGCATTACAGAGCATTTCTACTACAAATACTATCATTTAGAACCCTACATTTTTTCTTTTCAACTTTTTATTGGGAGCCATACGACTGCTCGTATGTATCAATTTCTATTGAGTGAAATTGACGAGTTGAAAACTCACGAAAAACCCACAACTCTCAAAATAAAAAATGTCTTTGATATATTTTCAGCTGCATAAACATTAGATTTTGCAGTTTGGTTCCATTGCTTTTATTATCATCTAATATTGACAATTACAAATGGACTATGAATGTAAAGTAGACACAAGATAATGAAGGAAAGTTAATTGACACGTGTTTATTTAGAATGTGCTATCAACTTTCATCATAGTTCTGCAATATTTTTCGTATATAGAGAGCTAAAAAAGTATAATGCAACAGCAAAGCCAAATCGCTAAAGCAATTCTACATATATGATATTTTCAATCGCTTATCATATAAGGCTTCCAAGTGTGTATTATGGATTCGATGTCAGGCGTCATTATGAATGTCTCTTTACTCACATTGTCATTCTTAGTTTTTTTGTACCATTGACAAGACCTAAGATTTTCGACAAAAGATATTGGTTTTCTATTTGAAACCAGAATAAAGGGGAGACTGAAAAGGATCCTTCGTCAGTACGTTTCTCATTTTATCAAGCAGTTTTCAGCTACATTCCTCATCATTCTGACTAGAATGTAAATGATAACAAAGAACGAAGTGATCTGGAAACTATCAATGAAAATCAAAAGTACTTCCAAAATTTTTTAGTACAACAATTTAATAAATAAACTTCTATGAACTTTATTCTAATTTTCATATAATAGGTATTTTTCAATTGTTGTCCAAACCGTTCTTAATCATAACAAATATTTATGATAAATATCCAAAAAACACAACGTTTATCTTTACTTTCAAACATGTAAAAATCCGTCTATTTAATCAAGAGTTTTCGTCTATATGTTAGTTTTTCTTTCTACAGTATATGAACAGTTTCACAAAACCGACAAAAAAAAAGAAAAAAAAATGTTTGGGTCGTTGGACAGATCGACAAATACATAAATATATAAGCATATAGATAAACAGGACAAAATACACGCGAAACGTTTAATTTGTATATATATATAATCGTAATAATAACAAATAAAAAGAAAATAATCAATTAAATACTGATCTCTATGAATAAAGTTATTTATTTACATAGAAAATTTAGATCAGTTTATGAATTAACTACCCATTCACGTAAATCAGCTAAGATTTGATTAATTATATTACACCAATCATTACGATCTTCTTTTGAATCAGCACTTAACCAATATCGAAATAATGTTCTTTTACCAAATGGTTGTGCTATTATAGAATTACATATATATTCTTCATTTTCATCAACAAATAATTTATGTTCAGTTGATTTTTTTGTTGGAACAGCAATACGTAATTCAAATGTATGAGGTCGAGCACATGTTTCACGTTGTAATAAATTAACTGTTTGATCAATACAATAATGTAGATCAATTTCACCAGTAGGTGGCTTAAAAAAGAAAATAATATACATCATTTAATTGTATAACAACATTTTTGTATTTTACCACATTAGCTTCTTCATCATCTGGTGATGGCCAATATCGAAGATTTTGTTCATTTGTTAAAGCAAACCATCTTCGAATCCATACACCTGAACCATTAATATCACAATAGATTGTCTAGAGAAGAAAAATACAAATAAAAACTATATGTTAAATTTTTTTTTTGAAAATAAATACCAAATAGCCAGCTTTGCGAATTTTTAATTCAGATAAACGTTGTAATTTAACATGTAATTTATTTTTAAGTGGAATTGATGCAGATGAAATCTATAAGAAAGTCAAAGACGACAAATATATATATATATAACTAGATTTATTTTTAGATATTCATTTAACGTACTGAAAGCATAAATTCTTGTGTTTTAAGATCTTCTTTATGAATTGTAATAGAATCAACTTGAAAAAAATTGCTTACACGAATCATCGTATTTGTTTTTGTATGTTGTCCAGGTATTGATACTAGAGATAGTGATATATGTAAAGAGAATTATATTAAATTAAAGTTCATACCGGTACTATTCAATCGTTGTTTATCACATTGCATACATTGACCAGTATTTGCCGATGATGAAACATGATGATGTGGACAAACCATTGGTGAATGATCGAGTCCAGTTATTGGATGTTTCATTGTTATTTCCTAAATCATAAAGATAAAAGTGATTGATTTTCTTCTTTCGGAAAACATCAAGATCTATTATATAGATCTTTAAAGAAACAATTTCTTTTTAGATGTGTTCTAGTGATAGTAAAACTAACTCTTTCTATAACAAAAATACGACTAAATCAAATAATTAAAGGAGCAGATTATCAAGATCTCAACGAAATAAGAAATCCGATATGATAGCAACAGACAAGATTAAAATATTGTTCCTTCGAGTTACATTCTCGATTGAACGAATTTATATTCCCCACTATCAAGGTCTGTTTCTATGCAAATACTTAAGTGGAAATTCGAAAATCAATTTTTCTGCAGTCTCTGTTGGAAACTAAGACATGGAGTTTAGTAATACTATAAAATGTAGTATCTCCGCAATACGTTAGCTGTCCGAATCAATTTTAGAATATCCATAACTCATTCAGATCTTCATGATGCATTTAATCTGTACTCAAAAACGATTAAGCAGTTGAGAGAATTCTCTTATAAGTAAGAATACAACAAACTTAAACCAGAACAATAAACCCCCATTATTTGATAAGTTACTTTAATTTTTCTGACGATTAAAACCAATCAATGTTAGACTTATAATTTTCATTAGACCTTACTAAACAAAGGCTTATTCTTCTTCTCTAATCAAAAGTGTTCTCTATAAGTTAACAAAATGAGATAGCTTACCATGCAATAAACTCCAATAGTGGCAACAAAATTGCTTTCAACTTCTCTAATAATCATTCGATTTGAAAAGATAACTTGTCCATTAGATTGAAGTGTGTCAAATGATGAAACCATATGTGAGAAAAGTGTTTGTGAACGATAATGAACGGCACACATAAAAAAATAAAATTTTGTTTCTACGAAAACAAAAACGAAGCAAATAGAAACTTCTTATTGAAAAACAAAAAACAACAAACCTTTTCCTTTACGTAATGATCTTAAATAATCTTCTTTAATTGCTAATCGAATATCTTGTAAAATTAATGTACTATGTGAAATATCTGACGAATAATATTCACTATCTGGATCAAGATTTTCTAAACGTTTTATTTCACTATTATATGATGTTAATTTTTGTTCTAAAGTATAGTTTCAATTCATATGAATCATATTGAAATAAAATTTAAAACATACTAGCCATAAAAATAACACGTTCACATTCAATTTTCTTATCTGATAATGCAGCATGTGGATCATTTGAACAGCATTTTAAAGCGTGTGATGTTTGAGTTAATGTTGATGTTTCTCTTCTTGATAAATCCGTTAAACGCTTAAATAAAAAAAAAAAGAAAATGAAAAACAATTAAAAAATGATTCTTTTTTTTAAAAATCTTACATTAATTTCATCAATAATTAACCATTTTGATGTTAAACGTTTATTTTCTTGTATATTATCATCCGTTGATATAGATGATGTTGAATTTAATGTTGTTGAACTAATTCTTATTGAATTCGGACGATTGGTTGTTACAAGATCAAAACCCTCTTGACGTTTTTGTTTTAAACGATAATCAGTTAAACTATGAACAAGTGGTGATTCACTCTAAAAAAACATTGTTTTTTTTTGTTTTCAAATTAAACAAAAGAAATAAGAAACTAACTAGTTCATCTTCATTTTCATCTTGACAATAAGTTCTTGGTGGTTTAATTGGTGAGAAAAATTTATGTTTATTTAATGTTGGATCGGATATAGAACGTGTTGAAATTTGACGACAAAGTTGATGATCTTGTATCGATGCAATATGTGTTTGCTAATTAGATAAAAAACAATAGTTATGTAAATTTGAAGAACAACTTGTTTTAATAGTTTCACTTTTTAATCGTTTATACCAAGACACTTTAAGTTAGTCTGGAAAGATTAGAAAATTGATTTTAGTTCGACAACTTTTATACATTTTACTAGAGGAAATGTTCTGTTGCATGACTAATTGTGTCCTTAACGCATGTGACGAAATTTCTTTTACATACACTCGAGTTTACGATGGAGTAGCGAACTGTTTTTATCGACTGTATTATTTGATTCGATGTTTGTTTTTCACATTTTTTATTCAATCAAAAAGGTCAAATTAGTACATAAATATTTTCGAGTGATTCGAGCTACTGAGATATCAAATGTTACATGAATTGTTCTTGGAGACCTCTCGTTTTCAAGAGAAATGATATTTTTGAATTTTGACCAAAAACTTGACCTACATAATAGTATCGATTATATTAGTTTGTAGAACAGAAAACATTGATATTTTTCAACAAACTAGCCTGGTTGTTGCCTTTATGTGGGCAAAGTTTCAAGTCAAACTCCAAAAAATAGATTTCATTCAAAAACTGGACTCATACAGAAAAAATCCACTAAAAATTCAACATCTCTGTAACAAAGAACAGCAGCTCAAATTACGTAAAGATATTTACCTATTAATTAAATATACTTTCAAGTAGCAAGCGACTGATCATTTGGGCACTTTTCCATGTTAGTAGACATGGATACACTTTTAGAAATATGTAGACATAGTTAATAATAATAATAATCAATATTTGCTTAACAAGAATCATACGTCAATATGTCTACAGCAGGAACAGCTCTTTTTCTCACAGTATTTGAACGTTTTCCTAGCTTTTTGGCTGTACAAAGAGTTATCTGCAGTCTTGATTTAGTCGTAGGTATAACTAGTGGCATAGTTTCTTCTGAAATCAAGAATCCCAATGAAAGGTATACCGCTTTTCTCAACGTATGACTCTGTCTCTCTCTCTAATTAAACAAAATCTGTATTCAAAAAAAAAGTTTTATCGAAAATCAGTAATTTTTCGTTCACTGTCCATCAGAGCGCGTAATTTTTGACAACCTAAATATTCGTTTAGAAATAAATAATACATTACTAAACATTGGGTAAAAAATCGAAACCATTCAATGAACTACATAATGTAGTCTACAAAATATTTTTCTACATTACTGTCAATTAATGTTTATAAAGCACCAAATGCTCTATTATCGAACATTGAATCTTAGTTATTGAGAAGAAACGAGAAAATTTTGAAATAACTTACATGAGCATAATATATATGATCTTCTTGAAGAATAAGATCATCTCCTTCTTCATCTAAATTTGTTATTTTAATATTCGCTGTCTCTTGTCTATCATAAACGATAGCATTTGTTGGATTAAAATTTTCATAAAATGGTTGTTCAATATCAGATGCTATACATAAAAAAAAGAAATAAAGTTTCATTACATTCTCAGAATATTTCTTTTAACAATTAATGTACGTGTATTTTCATTGCCTGGTGCATCAATTTCATCATTAACTAACATGTCTGGTGTTGGTTCTGGTAAATCAACATTAATTATAAATGGTGAATTTCGTACTTCTTGTTCGTTAAACGTAACAATAACCTTTAAAACAGTGAAAAAAAATGAAAGTAATTATTTAAAAGTTTATTTTTGCAAAGTTTTACTTTATATTCTCCATTAATTGTTGGATAGAAAACACAATCATATGTTCGATTTATATCTTCACGAAATTCAATAGTACACTTCAAATAAATATTAATTATATTACAAAAAAAAATAAAAATCTTGATTTTTATATTTCCAACCTCTTCTGTTTGTCCGTTTGGATTCACAACAATAACATCAACTTTTCCTAAACCAGCTGCACATGTTTCAATATGAAATATAACTGGTTTGTCGACTATATGTCCCATATGATCAAGACCTAGATTGAAATCCTTATATCTAATTAAAAAAAGAATTTATCAAATTTTTGTCTTTCAAACCTGAACCATAACAATGAACTTGGTTAGCATAATTTTTTGGTTTAACAGGTGCACCAGGTTTAAGTTGAGCATTTGGATATTGAGATAAATATGTCATCATAGATTGTTCATCAACTTGTGGATTTATCATTTCATGAGGTTGAATAAGCTAAAATTTTTCAAAGGAAAAATTTTTTATGAAGAACGTTTTCTCGATTTTCTTAATTCTATTCTACTTGTTTCATCTATATATTGAAAGCTAAAATTTATTGAATTTCAGCACAACAAAACCTTACTTTCAGATAACTTTAATATTAAATTTTCATATCAATTAAAGATTATTGAGTACAGAGTTTTCCACTCAGCACTATGAAAACAATTGGTAGAACATTCGTAACGAAAAAGTGTGCAATGATTATTTCCTTTTCAAACAGTTGCAGTAGGTGTATAATCATTTCATTCATTAAATATAAACAATATTCTCTGAACTATTCAAACATTGTATTCCCTTAAAGGCAATACCTGTATGCATCAAAGAAAGTTATTTTGTTATCATCCTGCCTTGTAGTAGCTCGATTAATTATATTCAAAGATGGATTGATTGAAATGACCACGAACGATGGTACACAATTTTCTTAGATCATCTATTTGATATTCTCTTAAAAGCAATTATTACTTAATACTATTTGTTGTTAACTATGCCTGTTGTAATTGATTAGAAACTGAGACGTAGGATCTTATTTTCTGTAATCTTGCACACATTTCAGCATAAACAAAGCACTAGCACACAAATATTATCAAGTTTGCCTTGTCCGCTTTTTGCTATATGTAATCTTTAACGACTATCAGATGAAACCAGAGGTACAGAATCTGTGACTAAAATGAAAAGTTTCGAGTGCCATCGAAACAAAACTAAAGGATAAATAAGTCTACTATACTCTGAAAATGAAGCTATAGAAAAAATAAATTATTTTCATTAGTCATCAAATAATAATGATAGTCTTAGTCAGTGGCGTGCCCAGGAATTTTTTCCGGGGGGGGATTGATCGTTCCCAGGGAGGACCACTGTGGAGGGAAACTGGTTTTAGACACGCGAAAATAATTCGGCCCGTATCCCCCTCCAAGTGTTCGTATTTCTCCAGAGGGGGATCGATCCCCCCAATCCCCCCCTCTGGGCACGTCACTGGTCTTAGTCATCCCAGAAATGATTTATTACAAGTGAATCAAGACTTCAAAATTTTTCATGTTAAATATTACTCACATTTCTTATGATATAGCACTAGTTGCAATCAAATCGGGATGACAATCACCGAACATGAAGTAAAGAGTTCAGAATAAGAGTAATAAATTAGAATAAGGATTAGTAGGATAACAAGACTTGCTAACATATTACCTTGTCTTCGACAGTTCTATCACGGCTTGCAACAAACAGTTTGCTATATATTATTAGGAAAAACAAAATGTAATACATGGCATAAGCATGTTAAAAGAGAGACCTATTCAATGGTGAAAAATAGGTGAACTATTCTTTATTGAGAAATCAATCATGCGATTTGTACATGAATTTAGTCTGCCCATTTGCTATAAAATAGAAATTTTATTAGCTAATTTTCAACAATAAAAAGTTTTCATATAAACAATAATTCTTCGAAAAATTTTTTCTAGATGCACGTATATTCTGTAGATCTGAATAAAACATTGCAAACTTTGTCTTATAATCGTGAAAACTCGAATGAAGAAATAGATTTTCTTCGATTATTTTGAAAATCTTTAACAAATTCATTTAGTTACAATGTCTTTCTTGATATTTTTAAAGAAGTTAAAATACTAAAAAACTTTGTTAGGCAATTACTTGTGGAATGCCAAGCCATTTTTCAGCTAAATCCATAGCTTCTTTTGCATTTTCCAATGCATTTTTTGGATCACGATCAGCCCAATTTGGAAATAGACCTAATCAATTATATTTGAAAAAAAAAATAAATTATTTTGATTCGAATAGACAATACATACCTGGATAACAAGAATCTAAAACAGCTCCAATAGCTCTTCCATCATTCCAATCAGAAGTAAAATTTCCAATATTGATTTGCATTGGTAATTTAGCTTGTAACCAATTCATTAATTTTTGTTTTGGTTTAAGATTTTGTATTGTTTCACGTTTTTCATTTGGTATTTCCCAAGCAGGTAATGTAATTGAATAATGTAAAATAAGTGTCCACATAAGACCAAGTATTAATTTCATATTACCATCAACAATATCTAATGCATCTATATTAACTAAACGTTTTTTTTCAATATTTTCAAGATAATCAAGTACAACAGAGACATTTTCTAATTTTTGCGAACGAAATTGTGGACGTTGATTATAACGTGGTAATTTTTTATTAACTAATATTTCAATAAGTGCTATTAGATTTAAACCATCACTAAGATCTGTTTGTAAATTATTAATATGTCGATTAACTAATTTTAAACGTTCATTAGCCCATCGTGTAAATGTATTTTGTTGAATTTTTTTCCATTGAGCATCTTGTCCACATTCACGTTGCATATCATTATTAAATTCTAAAAGAATAGATGAAGATTTTCTTTTTTGTCATAGGAAAAAATTTGCAAACCTTGTTCACGTCGATGAAATTCTTCGGGTGTTAATGTTACATCTTGATTATTAATATTTAATGATTTTGGATGAAGTATTAATTGATTTATTGAAGTTTTTTTTAATTGTACTGGTGTTGTTGAATAATCTTTATGTATATCAATATTTTGATTATCATTATCGAATTCTTCTTTTTGTTTATTTAATACTTTCTATAAAAGATTTGTTTTTTTTTTCTCGTTTAGATTAAGTCAAAAACTAAAAATGGTAACAATCAATTAACTTACTAATTTTTGACGAAGATTGGTACTCATTGTATTCATTTAGCAGAAAACGATAAAAAAAGATTCGAATTCTATCGACAGAGATCGAAAGACAAAGACCCGCTAAACAATGTGCGATATTTCATTAACCAATCAATAGTTTGTTTTTGGACTCAGAATGTAGCGACATCATCATTTGTCTGATTATGTCTTTTAGATATATCAATATCTTTTCAAGTGCAACAAAGAATTGTGTTATGGCTCAATCAACTGAAGAATCATATTTGGATAAATTACTTAGAACTCGTTATCCACTTACGTATTATCTTAGTCGACAACAACAGTTTGTCAAAGTTTATTCAACGACGCAAACGATTGCAGCACCAACTCCTTCTTCTGGTTTGATTTTTAGCGTATAAAAAAAGAAGTCTTAATAAATCTATTGATTTTCAGAATCTTCAATAATCGTAGTACATAAACAAAAAGTACCATTACCAGCACCACCATGTTTTAATGTACCTGATACACTCGACTTTAATGCATCAGAATGTATGTTACGAAACTGACGTTTTTTTTCTTCTAAATGATCGTATTAATCGTGATTATGATGATACTAGAGTACCATATTTCTTACTAGACACTCAGGTTTAGTGCTTGTCTGTAATGAAATTGTGTGTTGCTCAATTTGAGTCATAAAAGCGTACAACAAAAAACTTTTTTATCCATGTTTTTACAATGGCTCTAAAATTTGATCATACAGATTCTTATTTGAATAGAAAGATTGGTTTCCAACGAAGTTTCGAGGAAAATCAAATCCTCACAGTATTCTCGTAATAAAAGCTCTGTCTAATTACATAAAATGATAAAGCAGGTAATTGTCTAGATCTATGACATGTTTCCCGAAATCTTTACAACTTTTTCTGACTGAATTACATGAATTTTAAGAAAAGCTTAAAGTTCTTTTTGCCTGAACTTCCATGTGACATGAGAAAAAATTCCTTTGAGACTTTTCTGAAAAGTGACGTGATGCAGTCAAAAAAGCCATGTGAGATGCTTGAAGATATTTTATTTTCTAGAGAATTACTTGCTTTATCACTTTATGTAATCAGAAAGAACTTTTATTGCGATAATAGTGCGAGGATTTCATTTTTCTCAGATATCTCTATCCAAACCATGACTGAGATTCTTTATAACACTTACTAATACGGAAAAATCGAAATTAAATCTCTAAGATCAATTTTTAGAGCCATTGTATATGACCATCAGGGGAAAATCTGATAAGCTGGAGAAATTTTTGAAAATAATACGTTGAATTTGAGCATTATAGAACATAAGAAATTGTTTTTTGATATCGCTTCTTATTTTTGAAGATTTAACAGTAAGAATTATCTTTTGTTTAGATGAACAAAATAATGAAATGGATCAAAGTTTAGAAACGGAAGAAGTTGTTACACACGAATATGATGAAACAATTTTGTTAAAAAGTATTTTTCAATATTAAATCGTATCGTTTTTTTTTCATTATTATCTTTTCTATTAGATAACAATAATCGAATCAATGAAAGTAATAGTGTAAGACAATACTAATATCATTTATAAATTTCATAAATAAACAACCCTGTCTAGGATATAAATAAAATTAATTCGTCAACCATCAAACGTACATCAGCAATTCAATTAGAATTTTCACCATATGAATATAATTCTCCATTAAAACAAGCGATACAAAATGGTTTAAATATTATCAATAAATAGATCTGATTAGTTTTCTTTATCTTGGGATTTTTGTTGTTTTAATAAAAACCAAAAAAAATGTTGTTCTTAAATGTTTTGACAGAAAGTAAAGTTAATAAATTTGAATTGGTTGAACTATATACTGCTGCCTGTTTAGGTCAGCATAGAGTTTCGCATCTCAAAGAACGAATACCATAGATTTCTTTTGATACTCATGCATTTGGATTTATCGTGTATCATGATTAAGTCAGTTTCTAATTACGATAATACTGTTGCTCATTGGTTATCAATTGAACATACTGTAGCTTGCCAACGCATCTATGAATATATGTACATATAATCAAACATGAATAAAAAATGGCAAAACTCCGTTTGAAATGTATTAGTACTATTACCAAAATCACCGGTAACATTGCCTATTCCTTTGTTGATTGATAACCAGATTATTCAAAAGAAAAGTTGTTAAAGAGAGTCTTATTAATCAACATATTTGAGATAATCTATCAAGGATATTGGAGAAAAAGAGGGAAGGCGGGGATTATCTGAAGCTTGCAAGGAATTTGTTTGGTTTTTCTCACAAAGTTTCTCGAAATTTTGACTTTGAGTCAGTTTTAACAACATTTCTATAGTATTCCTTACTGAAGCTTTACGATATCTCATGAATAATTGAATTTTGAATGGATGTCCTTTGTAGAAGCTCTCATTGAACAAATTGAAATAAAAAATTTGAATTCATCGCTGTTATTGCTTGAAGGCTAAATTGGTGATAAGATTTATGATGCATTTTTCTCATCTCTATCAAATCAAAAAATTTGCAATCAATTAGAATATTATTCCTAAACTCTCGCAAAGTAAAACCATAATCTTTGAAAACTAGTGATGATATTTATAATTCAATAGATGTTCTATTCCTTGATGCAGTTATAAATCCAATTAATCTTCCATTTAAAGCCACATCTGTCATACGACGATAGAGCCAACAAACTACTAATGTTTATTGATATAATGAATTGCCAACACTACTTAATGATACTACTGATAATTTTAGTGTTCAATCAACAAGTTTTGGAATTAGTGAAACCGATTGTTTTAGTGCAGTTGAACATCATTTCATTTCAAGATGATTACCTATATTAGCAATATCAGTTGAAACATTAGATATATTAATAACTCTCGTGTGCATATGTAATCGATATGAACATACTCTCAAAAGAGCATTTTTTACTTTCAATATGGAGAGTCGCTTAATAAATATTTTTACTCAATTTATTTATCAATTCATTCTCACTTATTCTATGTTAAAATTTACTATTAATCCATAACATAGTATAAGCTATTATGTGCCTATAAATATTAACAACGGTCAATTGTAATACTCTCTCTCTCTCGTCTTGAAATACATTGACAAAAACGAAGTGTTTAATGTCCTTGTATAAGCAAGGTTTTCTATTTGTTTTTATAAAGAAAAATATTAGTTACAGTAAATGATGCATAAACTTAAGAGTATAAACACTTCTTGAGATGTCATGAGTCAGCATTGTTTGTTTTTTAACGATTGTGTCATTACGTAAGCGGAGTTATAAAAATAAACTACCGAAAAAGACAAATAAGAGTTCAGCACAATCTATTTATAGACTTCTAAGGTTGTTATACAAACTTTTTTTTTATTACGATTATTATTATTATTATTCGTGTAATAAAAATAAACTTCGAATACCCATTGCCTTCCGAAGAATGCAGTAGACACATACACAACAAGTAAAATATTCATTATTAATACATTTTATGGATTATATACTGAAATTATTTTTGTTTCTTTTTTGGTAGTTTGAAAAGTAACTATAGATAAATGAGTGTGGCTCAAGAATTAAGAAAAAAAGGATGCAAATATGAGAATTTTATTGACAAGCAATTAAATTCTACTATCATTTGAGCGTATCAAATATTTTCTTCATTAATGAATTTTTCTTTCTATATGAATCGATAAATAATATATTAAAATTTTCTGTTTTCAGTATGTACTCGATCGATTATGATATTTTTTCTAAGTTGCTGTTTTATTTGAATGTTAAATTCAAAGAGTTTATCTAAATTATTAAACAAAACAAAAAAAATTGAGTAGAATATAAATGTGAATTTCATAAAATGCTAATGTGTCTACTGAATTTTATTTCCACAGAATCGAAAAACATCTTATTCTATAGAGAAAATCTTCAATGATATCATAAAATCTAATATTGATATGAAGAAAATAATATGGTTTTGATTTATTTAATTTAATATAATTATTAAAATAAAAAACTGTGTCAATAGATAGATATAGAACATGAAGTCCATTTACATAAAACTAATGTGTCAAGGAAAAAATCCATATTGATTTCATATCTATGACACTCATGTATCTGTTTAGTCAATTATTACAAACGTAGATGTTATCATCATAGATAATATGAATAAAATCTGGCAATACGAACCTTTCATTTAAATATTTTTCGTCATTTTGATATATAGGCATATTTCTTTAGATCAATCAGTTCTTTTTTAACATAACATACGTCTTTAATTAACTTTGTCTTGCATTTAGTCACATATTAGTTTTGCACTTACTATATTACCAAAGATAGAAATAGTCAAAAGTCTATACATGTTGATATTCAATATACCTTCAAATATTTCTTCTATGCTGTCTTTGTACATAATAATAAAAATTTATTCTGCTCAGAATCAATTGATTTCTTTTCGTCCATATTTTATAGACATTAACAACACGAGACTGATTCATAAAATCTTTTTTTTCCTTCAAGACCAATCATTGTCAATTGTATCATTTCGTAGGACATAAAATGTCTTACGTGCTCTTTCAATATGCATTTTAAGCAAATAAAAAAAACAGAAGAAAAGGATAAAAACCACATGTTAATATGAACAGATGAGAAGTGTGGCCTCTCACATAATGTCAATACATTTCTTTTCTTACAGAACAGAAAAGCAAAAAGAAGAAAAATTGACAAAATGATAGCAATCGTTTTGTCGCTATAGCTGGCGGACGTTTCCTACATAGATACAATTTAGTCATGCGTGCAATCTTTACATTAATTGATAGACAAAGAGTTCGTCATGGTATGAAAAAATGTTTTTTTTTGTCTCATTTATTCCATCAAAATTATTATAAATCTTTTTTTTATAAATAGTTTAAAATACAATTTAGTCTTTCACTAATATTACTAAGTACATTAACTAATAATCATGCATATAATTTTCATTATTATAATTATTCACAAATGACTGATTTTCTTCATGATATAGCAAATCGTTATTCATCAAAAGCAGCATTATATGAAATAGGAAAAACACAAGGAGGTAACAAGATTTAAAAAAAAACGATTTTGATTCTTTCATTTTTTTAATTTTTAAGGACGATCATTATGGGCTATAGCATTAAGTTCATATGCTCCAAATAAACATATTTTATTACGTCCAGAAGTAAAATATATTGGAAATATGCATGGAAATGAAATTATTGGTCTTCAATTATTATTATATTTAATTGAATATCTTCTAACATCAAATGATAATCAAGTTATAGAATTAATGAGTCGTTCTCGAATATGGATTATGCCATCAATGAATCCTGATGGTTTAGCATTATCACAATATGGTGATTGTTCAACAACAACAGGAAGGTAAAAGTAGATAAAAGTAAAAACTTCGTCATTAGATTTGAAAATGTAAATTTTATATTAGATTTACATTAAATAATATTGATTTAAATCGAGATTTTCCTGATTATCTTGGTGCTCAACTTTCATCATCAATGCGTACTTTAGAAACAAATGCAATTATATCTTGGCTTCGTGATGTACCATTTGTGCTTTCAGCTAATTTTCATGGCGGTGCATTTATTATTAATATTCCTTATGACCGTTATTGTAAACATTTTAATTTCTATTCAAATATCGAAAAATAAACTTTTTATTGTGTTTTTCTTTTCAGACGTTGGAAAAATATCAATTAGTTCTGATGATGATATATATCAAACCATTGCTAGATCATATGCCAATCGAATATTAGGCACCAAAAGATATTGTAATTTAAAAAATGATGAGATTGGAACAGTCATACGTGGTGCTGATTGGTATGAAATTATCGGTAGTATGCAAGATTATGGTTATTTAAATTATGGTACTATTGAAATGACAATGGAAATATCATGTTGTAAATATCCAAATTATAATTTATTATTTTCATATTGGAATTATAATCGTGATGCAATGATTGAACTATTATTTCAAGCACAACGAGGTTTGTTTGTTAAATTGATAGAACTTTTTTTTTTTCATTGTTAGATAAGTTACTTGTTTTAGGTGTCAAAGGTTTAGTGCTTAATGAATACCATCAACCTATTCCATTTACACAAATTATGATTGATAATAGACGACCTGTAGTTAATGTAACACCATTAGGAGAATTTTGGAGAATATTATTACCAGGAATTTATACTTTAAAGGTAAAGAACTATTAAATAAGAATATTTAAAAATAAAATAAGATTAAATTTCTTAGGTATTCTATCGTGGTTATGAAATTTATCGTCAACAAATAGTAATTAATAATAGTTATGTACCATCAAATTTAAATATTATTATTCCACAATTAACATATATTCATTATACAAATAGACCAATTCAATTATTATCTCCTTTCATGACTAATTCAGCTTATTCAACATCAGTTTCATATGTGTTATTTTTTCTTTGTCTTATTTTTGTAGAGAATTAAATAAAAAGAAAATAATTTTGGTTTTTTTTTATATTTTTTTTTCTTAACCAACAGAAGGACCTGGAATGACAATACCCAATTCATTTAATTGTGCAAATAATTGTTGGTTATAATAAATTTCTGTATATGAAAAACAATGACCAATAACATAAATATGTTGGGCACAACATATTACATGATCATGAGGACAAATATTTTGTGTATAAACTATATATGTTTCAACACCATGTTCTGCTTCTGTCCAATATTCATCACACCAACGTGTACAACGACCCAATCCAAGAAAACCACATGAATCATAGCCACATTTATGACGACCATGTTTAGCTATCTAAAGTGAGAATATAAGTTGAAGTTATTAGTGAAAGTTTTTTTCATGTACATAATATGTTGTTTGTCGTGTTTGTGATGTTGCTTGAACGCCAGGATCGATTTTACAACACCAATTTGCACTTGTATCTTTTAGATCATTTCTTGATGATGATGATGTTGATAGAAGAATGTTTAGAATATTTTCTCGAGTACTTTTTGATAGTTGATCGATTTGATTTTGAATTTCGGGTGTTGTTGCTATTGAAAAAAGAATAGCATTGAAAAATAAAAAGATTTGAATAAGAATCATTCCGCTCAAACTCAATGAAAATAAATTTTTCTTAAAATATTTTAAGAGTGTGTTTTGTTTTAAGAGGTACTAACAGATGTTCTTTTTTTCTCATTGCATCGAACGATATTTATACGTCACTTAGTAAACTTGAAAAAAAATCATCCGATAATTTTCTTTATCGAGTTCATCTCCTAAGTCAGCTAATGCATTCAAATAATATGTTTAGCCTTCAACCATTGTCAATGAAATCTTAAATGTCTTGCATACTTAATTTTTACAAAAAGGGACGAGAAAATTGATTTTCATATATTTCTTTGAGTAACAGGAACATAAACATGGAGGAAGAAAAAAATGACTATATAGTATGTTTTCTTATATAAACGATCATTTGCAATCTCAATTTTCTTCTAATTGAAAGAAAATTTCTTTCAACCATTCTTACGATCATTTTCTCTTAATGCGATACCATTTTGCTTTAATTTTACTGCTTCTCTTTCTCTCTCTTCTCCTCTTTCTTTCTTTCTTTTACTTACACTTAAAAAAAACAAAACTGTGCGTTGACTATGTTGTTACCTGTATAAACAACAACAGCAACCGTTTTGTTTGATGGCATTATTGTTCATCATCTATTTGACAAAGGTGTCTACGACTACGATTTTTTCTCTAGCATCCATTAGTAAACTTGAAAACGAAAAACGGCGTATCAAACGCATTTTTTAGCAAGTAAAGCGCTACATCAACAGCCAAGTGCTGCTGTTGTTTCGCCATCAAGAGAAGTGACACTCTCAAGACAACATAAACGTCGTGTGCCAGCAACACTATCCGACAATTCATTTAACACAATAGAAAGTGAGCATCTACCTCCTATAGTGCCCCCTCCAGCTACTGCATTTCGGCATTATCCAACTAACGGCTTGACTCCTAAACGTGGCTCTTCGTCAAATAATAAATCTCCTCCAACATATCCTAGAAAATATATTCCAAAAACTATGAGTACAACAACAACCAGAATAAAAAAAACTGTTAATGGTGGTCCTATTATGACTAATGGAACACCATCTCAATCCTCAAGAACAACTTCAAGTGAAAGTGATAAAAGGGTAAAACTTTCAATGATTCAATATCTGCAAAATTAAAAAGAGAATTTTATTGTCGTTTTTTTTCTAGGTTCGTAAATTATGGTGGTCACCTAAACGAAATCAAGTTGAAATACGTTCTGAAGATAATAAATATAAGCATGTACCAGCTAAAATTGGTTCATTTGCCAATATTCAATATCAACCTGGTGGTGGTCAAGTATCTATAAGAGATGAAGTTTTACAATGGCAATCATCATCGAAAATCGGCTCACTTGCGAATGCTAATTGGTCTCCACCACCACCACGTGTTACTGTTCGAACAGAAAAACTGAAATGGGATGTTCAACCTAAAATTGGTTCATTGAATAATATTGATCATAAACCTGCTGGTGGTAATGTAGCAATTCGTGATGAAAAAATTGATTTAAATCATGTAGCGCCGCGTGTGGATTGTGGCTTTGTTGATTAAATATATGCGTTTTTCCGTATGTTTTGTAATTACTCAGAAGAACATTACGGTTTTTTGCTATTTTCATTTTGTTTATATTTATAATATATATGCATATATATGTATACGAAGAAAAACAATGCTGAAATATTCAATAAACAATTTTTTTTTTCGTTTTTAACACATAAAGACAGACGAAGATTTGTTTTGAGAAAAAGAAGAACATAATTATATAATAGTAAAAGGAAAAGAAACTTATTAAACACTATAAGCAATGTTTCAGAGAAAAAATCAATAGAAACATAAGTGCAGAAAAAAAAGGACAAATCGTTTTCTTTTCTATTTAAAGTTAACTTTATTCATAGTCACTCACTATCAAAGTGCAAAGTTTTGTTCATTAAAAGCAACGAACGGAAATCTTGGTAACTGCATATACTTATTCATACGTCATCTTTAGCAATTAAATACTTAGTTACGAAAACAAACAACATTGATAAATAAAACAGAAAGAGAATAATCGCGAAACTTCAATTTTCTTTTTAAAATGAATCAGTACGTAGAAGATTGTTATTATAGGGTTGATAAACATCAAATATACATAAATCCGATTATAAATTCAAACATCGCCATTGACTTATATTAATACTTAATCGGATTCTGATTGCTTCGAACTTTTTTAACCCATTGCAATGCTGGTTGATTAGATACTGTTGTTTGATTTTGTTGATGTGTTAAAAAGCATCTTTGTAAGCCAGATTTTTCATATACATACTGAAATCCATTTTTAATTAAACGCTTGGTTTCAGTACGAAATGCTCGACTAAATAATGTATAAATATAAAATCCAATCATTGGATTCAAATATAATATTAATCGACATATATTGTCAAAAAATTGTTTAATTTTTGGATTATATATTATTTTGTCCATGTATCTCACAATCATATCAAAAATATTAACAGTTGCAAATGGAGCTGTACAGCAAATCATAGCAATAACTTGTACTAATAGCATTGTAACCAATTGACGATCTTTTGAACGTGAACGATCGCTTCTGACACCATTATTTTGTGCTGCTATTTGAATATGAAGTTTTCGAACATTTAAAATCATTAATATACCAAAAATAATCATAAGAATAATTGGTAACATACAAGAAAAAGTAAGAAAAAATATTTGAAAGGCTAATTCATATTCACTGATAAAAATGTTACAATAAAGATCAGTATCAATATAATCAACGGTCCACCAGATCAATGTATGAAAATGTGCTAAAGCTATAATCAAAATAATTAATGCAACTGCTCTTCTAGCTATTTTTAAACTACTGAATTGTCGGTATTGAATTGTATGACAAGTTGAAAAAAATCGATCGATACTTGCAAGTACCACAAACCATTGTATAAGACATAAAGATGAATAAACAAAAAAGATTCTTAATTTACAAAGAATAATATTAGAATTTGATGGATCAATTTTCCAACCACTTGAAAGAAGACGTGTAAGCAAAGCAACATAAAGAACAAACAAATTATTGATTGATGAAGCCAAAAAGTAATGTGAGCAAGGATTAGTACGAAGCGAACGACGAGTAAATATGAAAATATTCATAATATTGCCAAACGTGCCAAGTATAAGTTGAAATATAGGAACGATTCGATTAAGTTGAAATGAAATAGATACCAAACGTTGAGGAAGATCATCAGTTGACGTTGACATCGTGTTAAGTGAAAAAAGAAAAATTGTTTTTATGATCGAATTAATCTTATTGTTAACACTTGACTGGATATCAAGTAATATTTCAAAAGAAAAAGAAAATTTTACTTTATAGAAAAATATGATTAGCAAAGCACATTTATGGAAAAATAATTGAAAAACATTGTGTGATGTGAATGACGTTTCTTTCAAGCCAAATGATAATCTTTTTGATAATACTAATGAGAAACCTTTAGAAAACCCTGCAGATATATTTTACCGACGAAATTTCTTCTTTGTTCTAATTGAAAAAGAAGTTCTTCTAAAGACATAGAAAAAAGATGTTTCTATTAGTGAATGAATGAACAACCATTGATGAATAGAACTTTATTTTTCATAATTAATATGTAACAAAATGAAAAACGTCATGTTAGAGGTATCTCTATACTCAATATATAAATATCTATAATTTAAGGCATCAATCAAGTTTTATCAAGTTTCATTTATTAATATATAACATCTGCAGTCTGTTATCAGACATGATGCTGAAATTCGTTCTCTGTAATAAAATAAAAGAAATTATATAAGATAAATCTACCTGTATGATTATAAATGTTCTTTTGTAGAATTATTATAGAAGCAGGTATATTAATTGTACCAGTAAAAATGATCTTGCTGATGTTTAATTGAAAATTCAAGTGACATACGTCGTAGAGAAATGCCTTTTTATTTTTCGGATAAAAAGGAAACATTTCCAAGTCGTTTGATATAAGACTGATTATTAAAAAAAATTCATTAACTGCTTAGAAAATTTATGAAGATAGAAAGAGACATCAAATATGATTGAGTTTTCCTGTGCACCGAACTCTATCGTTTAATTGAAATTTTTTCCCCGTCATGAAAAGCCTCATTTTCTGATAGAAATCAAGCAAATTTGACGTCATAAAAACTATTATTCAATTTATCTGGACAATGTATATTTATGTATATGTTTTTCACATTGATTCAAGGTGTCATCTTTATTATATCTCGTCATGAGAATGTTAGAGATGGGCAGGTGAAAGATTTCTCGATCATAAATCCAGTCATCAGTTATTATTAAAATTTTCAAGTCAAGCCTAGTCAAAACTTGGTTTTCAGTGCTTTTTTCAAATATTCTATTCTTCATGAAAACATCAAATTATCAAAGATTTTATTTTGCACAAAAGAAAAGAAAATTTATGAAAAAATGTTTCAAAATAACGAAAAAAAATAGCTAACAAAAAATAAATCTGTTCACGAATATTTTGACTAAAGTTTACATAACACATGAAAACTAACGCAGATCATTGAATCTATATGTTTTTTGACTTGACTTGTTCATCTCTGGCTCGACCTTATATCAAGTCAAGTCATAATGCATTCAAAAAATCGTCAAGTCAAAGAATGAGTTGACTTGTTCATCTCTGGGAGAAAGTTTCACTGACAGAATTGTTTCATCGTTCTAATTGTGCGAAAGCCATATCAAATACATCGACTTGTCAAAGATGAACTTGTCAGTGATACTTCGACGAAAACAGACAATCAATTGTTCTTATAACATTGGAAACTTCTATTAGAAGGCTTCATGCTAGTTGAAAATGAACACAAATGAAGCTTGTCTGAATCTTAATTTAACTGTTATTTATTTTTGTTTTTTACATAAGAAAACAGCATATCTAAGCATAATTATGTTCCAATGCTTAACAAATTTTATATTGAAGTTCTAAAGATAGTTCAATCACAGCTATAAAAAAACTTTTGGCAATTTATATTTTGTTTACCGCATCAATCGTTTATGTATTAATATACTTTAGAAATTCACAGCAGAATTTTACTCAGAGAAAATTAAAACGCAGTTGTCATACAACGACCTGAAATTATAACACTTTGCGCTTTCTACTCTACCAACTTCAGTAAAAGTGGAAGTATCATTATATGACAAAGCTCATTTTTCTTACAGTGGACCTGGAACATTATACCAGGCATGATGAACACAAAAGAATCATTCAACGGTGCTTATCTAATGTTAAAGAAGATATTGAAGATTAGTTTAGATCTTGTCAATATATATATATATATATATACTAATGAGACTTTTAGCATTTATAGCAAGAAAATAATTCATGTACATTTTCAAAAGTTAATATGTTCTTCTAACGAATTGTACTCATGATACATCCGATCTTATGATGCATATTTTTTTGGTCGAGTTTAAAGATAAACAGATTTCACTTTTATTATCTTTAAATGAGTATGATTCGCGCGAAACATGACGTGCACGCAGTGAAAAATTAATTAACGAAAAATTTTAAGAGATAGTCTCTGAGCTAAGTTTAATACGACAATATGAAATTTGCGCAGCATTGAGGTATAATTATGTTTACATACATGGTTTCCTTTGACGCAAAATTGTAATCATTAACATAGTTGATTAAAGGTCTGCACAAACTTCATTAGTGTTCATTTCATACGAGCGTATAGCTTTTTAATGAAAGCTCGAACATGAAATAACAATGATGTTCAGCTAGTTCTGGTTTGAATTAGTAATAACAAGCAAAATCTGTGATAACTCTATGTATTCTTTAGGAGTTCGGTCAAATTTTGAATATCCAAAACTTTCATTAAATTTGACTTTCTTCACATTTTCATGATTCTTCTAAACGATTGAATAATAATTTTTTTAAAGATTAATTCTACTACAGTGGATATAAAATACTTGGTCTTTCTCGAAATTGAAAAAACTATTTCTGTACAGTGTAATTCACTTCTACCTATGATTTAACTGTGTGTTGAAGTGTATAGATAATACAGATGTGAAAATTTTCCTCGATGCAAAATTTCATTTAATACGTTCTGAAACAATTGATAGTGAGAAGCAATTATATGCGTCAATGAGCTAAATAAAACGAAAGTATAAGATTAAGATGTTCGAATAGTTGTTTGTTGTATTGAATAATATAATAGGAATAAAATATTATTTACAAAGACAAATATACGAAACAAATTTTACAATAGAATACAAAAATTAAATCAATATACAATTTTGAATTTAAACATCCAACACTATCATCATAATGCTTGTTTCTTCTAGACATCAATACAAATAATGTTCAAAACCTTACAATAATGTTTTTGATCCGGACATTGAAGTATTATGGGATAGATTACAACGAGTTAACACAACTTGACACATACAATTCTTTTCTGGTTAACAGAGGAAAAACCGATAAAAATACAATACAATAAGAAACTATCTAATGGACAAAACAAAACGAGAAAACCTTAGGTAATCACAACAAACAACATTCAAAACTAAAAATCACGACAAAGTTTTCTTTTTACATATACATAATATTTTGAAAGAATGCTTCGTAATTAATATTTACGAATATGTCATCACAGTTACTTGTCGTTTTTTTTGTTACTCAAACACCTGTTCGTCCTTTACTTACGAATGTTCCTCCTCTCTGTTCTCTTTGTACTGGTAACCATTTTTCCAAACCTAATGTTGTCAATATAAATTTCATTGCTTCCATAATCATACATTTCAATTCACTACGAAATGTTTGACTTGATAATGTATATATATAAAATCCAACAACTGGATTAAAATAATTTACTAAACGACCGATATTACTATAAAATGTATTGATTGCATCACCATAGTCAGATAATGTTACTAAATATTGAAAAATCATGGATGTTATGTTAACAACTGAAAATGGAAGTGTACAAAGAATTGTAACAAGAATTTGAATAAGAAGCATTATAATCAATTGACGATCTTTTGAACGTAAACGTTCATTTCTAACATCATTATTTAGTGGAGTAACTTGTGTTCGAAGTTTTCTAACATTCAATATTGTTAATGTACCAAATAAAGCCATTAGAAATGGTGGTAATGCACATGTTAGTATAAGAAAAAATACTTGAAATGCTATTTCATAATCATATATAAATATATTACAATATGTTTTTGAGCCAATATAATCTACTGACCACCAAATAAATGTATGAAAATGTGCTAAAGCTATAATCAGAATGGTTAATCCAATAACTTTTCGAGCTATTGATATACTACTCATTTGACGATACCGAGCATTTTGACAACTTGAAAGATATCTATCAATACTTGCAAGAACCATAAACCATTGAATAAGAGCAAGTGATGAATAAACAAAAAATATTCTTAATTTACAAAGAGTAAGATTATTATTTGTTGGATCTATTTTCCAACCACTTGAAAGAAGACGTGTTAATGTTGCAACATATAAGACAAAGATATTATTGATAGATGATGCTAAAAAGTAAAGTGAACATGGATTGTTACGAAGTGTTCGACGAGTAAATATGAGAATATTTAAGATATTTCCAAATGTACCAAGAATAATTTGAAAAATTGGTACAATACGATTGAGTTGAAGAGAGATAACAGGTAATCTTTGAATAATATCATCACTCATTTTTGTTGTAATCGTGAGGTATAAAGTGAACGATATACGAAAGAATTTTTAGAATCTAAAAATATTCATGATAAAGTGTTTCAGTATCTATAGGCTTATTTATTTGTATATGGAATGTGACCAATAATATTATACCACCTGAGCAACATCCTACAATAAAAAACATTATAATATGTCTGAGTTATTAGCGGATAATGTAAATACTTAAAGCAGTACTTGATTGTTTCTCATCCAAGGAAGAAAAAGACTTACAAGTATTCTAACAAAATTATGTTTCAGATCATTTCAGAAGGATATAAAGGAATATTATTTTTTATCAGAGCAAATTATCCTATGACCTGATGCAGGTGTTAAATTTCCTGTAAGTGGAATCATCTTTATGACATATGATCTAAAAGAATTGTTGAAGTGCATAGATAAGACTTTAGATCTCTTCCTCACACAAACGTGACAGATGTCTTAACAACACTCCAACCGTCGAGTCACAAATATGCTTTCGGTATATCGTTTTAGAGAAAAAATATCGATATTAGTTTGATTTCAAATTTGTAAATAGGGACACTGAATAATAGAGCTAGACTTATATTCTTTGAATCCATGTTTCCTTCATGTAGATGATATTATGTAGGATGAATCATTTCTCCATAAACAGGAGCAATTTCTCTATTGACTGTTCCTATCGATCGTCATTATGGATCCGTGTATTGATAATTTTTTAGTATAATTGAAACTATTTAGCGCATCTCAAATTTACAGTAGAGTATAAGAGTCTCCGCCTCAATCGGTCTCGGCCACTTCATGTGCTATAGGTCTGAAAATTACTGTACATGCAGTTCATCAAGAATATAGATAATTGGTATTGCGAAGACGTTATTACATAATTACAAAGGAAGTTGTTGATGGATGCCACTTATTTTCTAAATCAACCTCATAATCTTGAAAAAGAAGAGTATTCTCTATCAGTTGATTCCTCAATTTGTAATACTATATTCTAGCTCACTGGGACGCTTTCTTTACAGTTAAATGTCACTAGCTACAGATTTCAGAAACGAATCTTAAACTAAAAAGAACTGAAACAGATGATAATCTTGCTGGTTCCAAGAATTTGGAAACATCAATATTCGAGCAACAAAACTTCAACTACATGTAAAAATATGAAGAATTTGTTTTGTTTTTCGTAAGAAACAGTACGAAATTTTCTAAAGAATTTTTTTTAGGTTATAATCCTGAGAACAGAACGTAGGTGCTGTCCATCATAACTCCTTTTGTAATTAAGCAATAATGGCACGACAATACCAATGGCCTATACTCTTGATAAAATATGTGTACACAAATTTTCAGACCTTTTACACGTACAATGATAAAACTCGGCTGACACAGATACTTTGGTTCACTACAGTAAATCTTCTATTGATGTGTTTTTTTGTAAACACTGCTCTCAAATTAATTAAACAATAAAAACTCTGCAAGTCCAATCTGTTTATCATAAAACAAACACTTCCTTACGAATTACTTACTTCAAACGCAATTAAATACTTGCAAACAGTTTACATAGTTGGATGTCAAAGTGAGAAAATGATGAGTAAAAATTTCTTGAAAAAATCAAATGAAATGTAAAAGAAAAAACAGCAAACAACGCTCATTTAAATATTAAGAGCATGACATTTGAGAAGAAAAAAAGATCTCCTATTTTACTAATGAAGAAAATATTAAAAACTTAGATTTCCTTATCTGAAATAAATCACACAACGATAGTCTTTCCCTAATAAAGTATTATATCCTTATCACATTAAGATAAATATAATTATCTGAAAGGCTTCATTATTTTTGGTTAGTTTTCATATCGACGACACCCTATACACTAATTTGTCTAATTGGTAGAGCACATCGAAGAGTATGGAGTTTCGCGATGTCATTGATCTAGGGAAGTACCATTTCTTCTTCGACACTTTTTTTACACATCTTCTCGATTTCTTTTTTTTGCCTTTAGGTTAATTGTGCATGTTTTTTTGAGAAAAAAATCAACACCTTTTCCTGATATTTTATATCAACTCATTATTTTGTTAACAATCAGACTATCCGGTAAGTTCATTTCTTCTCATTTATATTATTATAAAATTTCACAGCACGAAATAAAACATTTTTTCCGGTTACAAGAGGAAAGGATCGATATGATAAAATATACTGTTTTTCATAACAAGCAAAAAGAATAAGAGCGTAATCGGAAGATAACCATCGTTTTTCTTGTTTTCATTCATATAATTAACATCTTATTGAGAGATATCTTTAGAATAACATTTTTTCTGTATTTCCTTATAAATAAATTCATTAGAATGTTTATTCACTATCACAACATGGTAGAAACTGACGGTTAGATAAAGAAAAGTAAACATTTTCCATCACTTCGAAAGAATAGAAATATTGTACTTTTTTTAACAAACTTTAAGTTCACACGATTAATAAACACAAGTTCTCTTGCACATAATACAATAGCAATAAGCACTTACTTAATCAGGAATGAAGGGTAAACAACAACGAGACATTTTTTCATTTTTTTTCATTGGACAATTATTCGTCAGAAGTCTTCGTAATTTTTTTGTCAAGATGCACTGACAAAGAAATATCTTTTTAGATTGCCATTGTTAACACGGTTTTTCCATATATAATTCTACAAATCTGTCCTCACCTTTTAATTGGTATACATTTTCCAAGCCTAATTTTGTCAATATAAATTTCATTGCTTCCATAATCATACATTTCAATTCACTATGAAATGTTTGACTTGATAATGTATACCCTATATACTTAGGGTGTACCAAAAGTTCGGATCGCGGCATTTAAAGGACCTTGTTGGATAAGGTGACCTATTCAGAAATAAGAAACCAAATATACCATTTTGTAGAGCCTTTCGAGGCGCATATAATGGTATACAGTAAATTCTATTTTCATAAGACTTTGAAGGAATTAAAGTCAATTTACTGATAGACGACTACATAGTCACATCTATCTATACACACGTCCTTACCTCAAGCATGATAAGTTAATGAATATTGTGGTCCTTGGTATTAATCAAAAGTATTTGTAAAATATGTTTTCTCATATACGATTTTATAGAGTTTTTGACGGACTACAACTTGATATACGTAGTTTCTTCGGTCATCTTGTAAATGTGGATGTGGGTGTGTGTAGGTATGGATGGTTGTGGCTATGTAGTCGTCTATCAGTAAATTGACTTTAATTCCTTCAAAGTCTTATGAAAACAGAATTTACTATATACCATTCTATGCTCCTCGAACAGCTCTACAAAATGAAATATTTGGTTTCTCATTTCTGAATAGGTCACCGTATCCAACAAGGACCTTTAAACGCCGTGATCCGAACTTTTGATACACTTTAAGTATAAAATCCAACCACTCGATTAAAATAATTTATTAAACGACCGATATTACTACAAAATGTATATTGATATACTACTCAGTTGACGATATCGAGCATTTTAACAACTTGAAAGATATCTATCAATACTTGCAAGAACCATAAACCATTGAATAAGAGCAAGTGATGAATAAACAAAAAATATTCTTAATTTACAAAGAGTAAGATTATAATTTGTTGGATCTATTTTCCAACCACTTGAAAGAAGACGTGTTAATGTTGCAACATATAAGACAAAGATATTATTGATAGATGATGCTAAAAAGTAAAGTGAACATGGATTGTTACGAAGTGTTCGACGAGTAAATATGAGAATATTTAAGATATTTCCAAATGTACCAAGAATAATTTGAAACATTGGTACAATACGATTGAGTTGAAGAGAGATAACAGGTAATCTTTGAATAATAACATTGTCTATACTCGTTGACGTGATTTTAATCTGTAAGAACAAAAAAAATAAGAAACTTGTACAGGTTTATATTTAGACACGAATGCTTTATGAAATGAATATTATCTTGTGATATATGGCTCTCACTTCTACAATGTACAAATACTAAAAACAATAATCAACATTGCATTAAAGTTAATAAATTTTCTAGGCAATGATTGAGCCAATGACTAATGCATACTAGCAGAAGAACTGGGCTACATCGAGAAATTTCTTATTTGCTATTGAACAAATTTATAATGAAATAAAGTGTAATAATTGAGGAAATGTATGAAGGCGGGTATAAAAGTTATATCAAGAAGATCTGTATCTTTTTCTTCTATAAATAACTTAAAGAGTCTCACCCACTTAAAAAAGTATGTCTACATTTTCACATCCTGATGTATGAATCGATTTACATTTATGGTTCCAATTTCTATTCTTAATTAAAAGAAATCAGGTGTTCTAGTGAAATGGATCTCTGCTCGGCGAATTAACGAAATTTCGCATTGAGACTTTATTGATAACAAACGACGTGATCATACAATTTTGCTCTCGTTTCGAAGCACATTTTATTGATACATCAATCACGATAAAGCACTTGCCAATTAAATATAATATCATTCCCACAAAATCATATGCATCGAAAAGATAATGTGTTCAAATTATGTTGACAGAACTATTCTAGGACGAAACATTGTTTCACACACATGTTAAGGAAACTTTATTTCGTCTGAAAAACTTCTGCTAGTAGACAATTGGTTTTTTTCGATGTTGCAAAAACAACTTGCGTTCACATCATAGAATTTATTTGAGTATTGGTTACTATTATCTCGTGTTCGAACTGAATTCGTTGCACATTATTTAATAAATACCGAATACTATCAGTTAATAAAATTACATCCAGCATGGGACAATAATCTGATCGGTAGGAAAAATGATTATTTTCAGCGGAAAGATGTCGTTCAGGTCCAAAATGCGATCTTACATATCAATTGAAATATAACAGCGGTACCGAACAAGGACACCTATTCATAATCCATATCTATCTACAGATGAATGAATGCATAAATGTACACATAGATACATACATTCTCTTGGGAACAATGAAACTCCTGGCGAAAAATGCATGAATGTAACGGAAAAATACTGAAATAATCTGGAGAAATACTTTTCACCCATAGGAAAAACGATAGAAAAAGAAGAAAAATGTCTCTCTAGACATATGAATGCTAATGTATATATGTACATACAGGATTAAGAAAAAAACGAAGATCTAACAGAAAAATGATTTCTAAGAATTGAAATAATCCTGAAGAAAAAAATCGAATATATTTCATTATCACAGTACTATAATTTGATTATATGTATAATTCGTTAAGTAGAATCCAGAGGATAACCCAATTTTTTCGGAAGACTTCCGAAATAAACTCATTGAGTTTCTTGTTTCTATCACTCTGTCACAAAGCGAACAGTGAAGAATAGTAGATCCAATGTTGATTAATTTATCGAACTCATATTTGTCGTGATTGGCTTACACCTACAAAATATTCACTCTTCAAGTACCAGACACGTCTGAGAGAGAAACAAACACAGCAATGAACTCCACGTGCGAACCGATGCATTCTTGTTGTTAAATGCTTTCTTCATTACCTTTGATGTAATCGTTTGCCTATCAGTCACTTGTTTCTTCTTTGCTATAGCAAAATGCTTTAATGATTAACCTTCATTTTATCAAATGCACAATACAATAATAGAGCGAACAGCATTTCTCTTGAATTGAATCATTATTTCATTTCTAATGATCTTCTTTCCTAATGAAATCCCTATATTACCGAAAATTTTTATTTTTTCCACTGATAAAGCATCTATAAAGAGGAACATAAACTGAAGTATTTCTTTCATAGAAAAAATGATTCGAACATTTTTCTTAGTCATTTTCCCCATGGATTATCATTTTTCATGAATGTGTGGTGTTGCATTCTTCTAACTTAGTCCTTTAACACCGAGCATTTTTGACATGAACGATTGGATTCCGCTTAAAATTTTCATTTATCTCACCGATCGAAAAGTTGTCCACAGCTCATTACATCCTACAGTCTACCTTCCGTTTAATGTATATTCTCAATACGAAATTTTCAACTAGGTAATATATACATCAAAGTTATAAATAGCTTTCAGAGATGTACTTAATAGAGTTATTTCAATATATAAGCATGAATTCTACTGCATACATTGTTAGCGTTTAGCGGACTCGTACAAATTATGGTAAGAAGTGCTTGAAAAAGAAACCTTACAATATGCTGAACTTTTAACGTGACCATCAATATCTTCCATAATTATGTTGCAATATAACTTGTATTCGAAGTGTTTAAATATTAAAAATTATTTTTGTAAATGAAAATAATCATGCGTTGGTGAGAAACAAGTAGAACAGCATAGAAAAACTGAAAGAAGTACAATACATCTTCAGTCAAATATATATATAACTTGAGATTATTGCACTTATTAATAATCATCACTTCACTATAAACATTTTATAATTCATTCTTACATAGCTAGAAGAAATATCGATGAATAATGTGATGAAACCGACTACTTGAAAATTCCATAAACGAATCTTGAGTATATATCTTATCATCAAAACTTGTCGATATTACCGATAGAAAATAAAATCCATACTTTCAAGTCTCAACAGACTGCGTCCTCTTTCAGGCATTCATTTCATTTGACTCTCACATGTCACTTATCTTCATCGCAAACAATCCATATCGTGACATTTGACGTCAAAAGCAAAGCCACAACAGACACCTGATATTATCTTTTTATTTATCAATGACATGAAACCATATGTTCTATCAAAAACACCCATAAACTAAGCCAAACGTGTCTATATTTTTCTTTCATTTATATAAGTAGATAAAAAATTTTAAACACCAATATACTCCTAAATCAATTTCTAGGTGGTAACATGGCATCATCTTTTTTTATATCACCTTCAACACCAACAGGAAATAATCATCGTATTGAACTTGCTGGTATCGATCTTTGGCTCCTGGCATGCATCAATAATATATTTGTCTATCCTTCTGAAATAAATATTGATCAATTTAAACAAGCACTTAGTCGTACTCTTTCTTTATGGCCACTTGGTTGTGGTCGTATTGTGTTAGAAAATGATCAACATTATGTCATTGAAATGTGTGATAATCCTATTCCGGTAACATTAGTGCTTAATAATGATTTGAAACAATGGCCTCTAAATTCAAATGCTTTAGTAGAAGTAAATGATAAACGCCTATCAGCATTTATCGATGAAATTCAAGTGACTAAATTATTTAATAATTCATCTGATGAACCACTTGTTCGCTTCAAATTAACTCATATTGCACAAAGTGGTGAATGGGCATTAGGTATCAGTTGATATCATCCATTAGGTGATGCTGCTGCATGCTTGCATTTTTCTAATACATTATCACGCTTTTATCAACAAATGGAACCAACAAAACCGTTACCTATATTTGAACGACGTTTATGGCGAGAAGATGAAGCTGATCAAGCATTTTTACCCTTGATGAAACAATTACGCGATGCTAAACCTGCAGAAGAAGTTATAAACGCTGTTTTAGATCATCAAGTACATTATGATCAACTAAATCTTCATTTTTCTGGTGAACAACTTGCTAAATTACGAACATTAGCTGGTGGAAATAGTGTAACAATACAAGATGCACTTACAGCATATGTTATATTAACACTTAATGCATATTGTTATAATGACAATGTTGAACATCGTATTTTGCGTACAAATACAGTTATTAATTTTCGTGGCATTTCTGATTCTATTGCTCCACAAGGTCAAGTTTCGAATGCAGTATTCATGATGTTATCAGATAATTTTGATGATCCATATTCATTATCAAATATTGCGAAGACGATACGGCGATCAATTGTTGAATCACGTAATTCGAAAACTCTTGAACCTCGGTTGGCTACTTTTGATGGATTAATGAGAAATAATGTCAGAGATAATAAATTGCCAGATTTGGGATGTTTTCCAAATGAATTTGCTGTTAATTCAAGTTTGAGATATGATTGGGCAGGTTTAGTTGACTTTGGTTATACTGATAAATGTCGATTTTATAGAGCTTCGACAGATGCATTATTTTTACGTGTACTTCGTCTTAATCCAGAAAAAGATGGAAATATATGGCTACCAAGGGATCAATATGGAGCTGAAGTATTATTTCGAGTACTAAAAGATTTGAAAGAGAAATTCGTGAATGCATGGAAACGAGACGTTAATGAACATTTTGAAAATGTAAAGAAATAGAAGTTGTTTTTTTGGCTTTAAAAAAAGAGAAAAGCTTCACTTATGCAGTATTTGGGTAGAGACTAACAAAAGAAATACACTAATTTGGATTAGTGACAGAGATGCAGAATTGATTTTGAGTTTCGGACAGATGAAGCGAATAGTTCTACAGTAAATTTTTGGGGGAATAATTCTACTTGAGATGAAATGATCGATTTTATTCAATGAAATTTTTGAATGTGAAAATAATCATGTCTTATATGTCTTTTATGGTGTAAAACATGGAAAATGTGGCGAAAGAATAAAGAACTCACACATTTTGGAAATAGAGTTCATTGAGATAGTACTATGAATTAATTCTAATGAATTTAAACTTACCTTTGATAGCTTGATTTTTGCTTTTATTAGATTATTTACAACTTACGTTTTTATAGTCAAATCTTTGATTGTGTATGCTTCGTATGAAGTATGTCATTATTGGTACCAAATACTAACTTGTAAGATCCTTTATAATGAGAGAATAGGCTTATTGAAGCTTTTTCATTTGTCTGAAGTAAAAAGCAATATATGTAGAAGTTCATTAAATCAGATTGTAATGTTAAAATTAATAGAGTCAACCATCGGTTGAGTTCTTTTCAAAGCTTGTTTTCTAGTCGACAATTGACTGGTTTTATAGCATAATCATTATAGATACAAATGAACTATGCATCGAATAATAATGAAAAGTACGCTACCTTTGATTTGCAAACACAAACATGGAACAAATCGGAAAGAGTGTTAAACAATAAATCGATATAGTTTTTCACTTTTGTATTTAACAATATATAGAACAGATAGACTGAGGAAGTGAGAAAGATTTCGAATATGAAAACCTTGAATATAAATAGTGTATCGAATAAATTTAAGCTTTTTAAAAATTATTAATCGTTCATCTATTCTTATGATATTCAGTTAAAAGTGCAAGAGAGAATTCAGATTTAATATCAACAGAAAGATTTTTATGAAACACATAAACAAATCATTTTATTAATGAAAGCTAATGCACCAGGGTAGCAACAGTCGATATGCAACATGAGTCTAATCTAAAGGAGCCAAACAGATTTTTCTTATGTTCTGCATAAGAGAAATATTCTTTTTATTAGAAAACTATGCAAATCGATAGAAGACATTATTTTGTATAGGTTTATAAAAAAACATATGCGAAATTGGTTGGTACTTACAGATGAAGTTGCGTTTTTTTTATCAAGGCATGGAAGATAAAACGGTTCGAACATAGCAATGGAGTACATTCCTTTGACTATTCTAACTGATATACACGCGGTAATACTTTTTTTCGGAAATACATCAGATAAAAACCATTTTTCGTAAGAAAATGAAACATTCTTGAGTTCTGAGAATGATTGTGTTCGAATGAGAACACTATTTTCAAATTTCAAACCAATCTCGATACTAGAAATGACCATTTGTCACCAAAGCAGCATTCTCCTTCTAATAAAATGAATAATCAGAACTTGGCAGTATTTCACTGTGTAGTAAAAGATGTCGTCTATCTGGTGCAGCTCTGTAAATATATATATATAGATAGATATACGTTGAGTCGGATAAGCAGAGGATTGTTGTTTTCAAGCCGTTTTCATCTAACTTGACTTCACCAATAAACTACAATTTCAAACCTAAACATCATCCAATTTTAAATGTTTTATCATGAACCTGTACAGAATGAGTTTCTCTGTCTGTCTGTATAGTTTCCAAACTAAGCTGATGTTTTAGATTATACATTCGATCGATAAACAACAAAACCTTCCGCTTTTGGCGAATAAACTTTCTTTTAGAAAAGAATGAATGAATCTTTTGATGAACGCTACTTGTTCAAATAATGTGATTTTCCTTTATCATAAGGGTGCATTCAAACTCACTCTCGAACTCTTCGTAATTATTACATCTTCATAAATACACCATTGACCAATCGACTGAACCATTCAATAATTTAATAACAATAATCATCATTTCTAAAAGCATCTCAGATTAACTCTACGTTTATTATGGACAGGAGAATATGTTGGCTTGATAGATTGAGTCCCATTCCAACGATCTAGCTAGGACGAAAAAAATCCGAAGGAAGATTTTTCCCATAAAAGTGAAATTTTTCTCTTGGATTTATCTATTATCAGTATAGACAAACATTGTCGATATTTTTGTTCCATTAACACTAAAAGACCTCTCATTTCCTTGTATCTGTATTTTCTCTGAGTTTCTTGACAGCAGATGACTCCATTTATTATCATATACTAATCAAAATGTCAGTGTCTGGCATGTGTCAAATGTTTGTGACTCTAGCCGAGCTGACCCAGCTTGACTCCTGATATTCACCACTGTTCTCTTTCTCTTGAGAGATTAAATTTTTCAATCCGTTTTTCTTTCTTTGATTTCGTAGTTGGAAATAAAGGATATGTTCTTGAATTCTTTTCGTTCTTTACATTTTTCCGATATTCCATAGTTTGAATTACAGGATTATGTGATACAATTTTTTCTTGTCTATCTTTCTTTTCTTATGTGTACAACCTGCAACTTTTATATTACCATGGAAGAGACAGTGCACTCGTTATAGATTATTGTTCGACATCAATAAAAATAACTCGGCGATGTAGAACAAAAGATTGTGTGATACATAACTTCTTGGTCTATTAAGCTTTTCATCCTCTCTTATAGAATATTTGAATGAAAAAAAAAAAATCTTTAAAATGTCTTTGGTATGTTCAAAATATTCATATTGCCGATCTACTCCAAAATTCAAAACTTCTTTCGTCACTTGATCTGAGTCCAGTCGAACACTGAAACATGCAACTGTTCCACATCTCTTTCATGATGCTACGCAATTATTCCTTGTCAATAAGGAAACGGATTTTATCGATAGATTTTTCTTGTCTCGATAGAACGTCTGTCTATGACTCTTCTGTTCTTGAATGAATTCACTTCAAGTCTAAGTCTTCTTTCACCAGCATCTACGAACTGATGACCAACTGACATTCCTAACCTAAAGGTAGAACATAGAACGAATGAACCTAGGACAGGATATTGCATTGGTAACCATTCTATTTGATGCCTCACATTACCAACGATGCATTGTAGTTTTCAAAACAGAAGCACTAAGAATTTCGAATCAATTATTGATATTTCAATTAACGGACTGTATGCGGAAGAAGCGACGTGTATTCATGATTATTTCCTGGTAGACTATGTCCTAAACTGCTTTTACTAGAGAAACTTAACTACTAGAAATAGAAAGATGACATGCAAGAGAAAAAATCACTTAAGAATAATTTTATTTTTCTCTTTGTCTTCGTATATACACTAAGATAGTCGAGCACGAATATACAACTTTTTGTGGTCCTCGGCAATAGTTCACCATTTTTCGATATCTTGTTAAAAATCACATTATAGTGTTTCGATGAAGAATTTTTGGATCGACATTTCATTTTTATTTCGGCCGGTATGCAATTTTGCATCTTTCAAGATGCGCATGTAACCATTTTAGAAGTTGAACTACCACCAACAACAATACGCAGAAGTTAGTTTTTTCAGAAGTATATTAATAAAACGTTTTCTTAATGTCGTCAATGTCATTAAATAAATATAAAACCCACAGCTCGGCTCTAAGTAAACAGTAACGCGTATAATTAATTCAATCCAATTGGACTTGTTCGAAATTCTTGTCTCATATACTTGTTTATTGATAGTAAGAAGCCGATAGAAACTGTAAGCAGCATATGGAAATGACGTTAATACAGTCACAATTATTTCAGCTATAATCATTAATGTTAATTGTTTTTCAATTTGATATTGAGTTGATTGTCGACTATGAACACAATGATGACACATTTGAACGAATTTACGATTTTGATCATAACGACGATTATGTAAACAACGAATGGTTGGTAATGTTCGAAGATTTTTCAGCGTTAGTATACCGAACAGAATCATCAATACCGGTAAAACAAGACAATGAATAGTAGTGACCCATATTGTCCAAAGAATAAGGTTTCGAGCAACACAACCTTGTGAACGTGAAACAATTGTATAATTGAAGACATGCTGAAGAGAAATAATGGCCCAAACAATGCATGAGACCAAACAGAGTTTGAATGCATTTGAGAGATGATAAAAATAGTCGGCAACTCGACGAAAGCAACTTTGTTGTTGATGCTTTTTACGTCGCCAACTCCAACTTAATCGATTGATTGAAGCAAGTAAGAGCATTTGAAATGTCAAACTAGCGCTTAGCATGTGAAAATAAATGCGTAATTTACATACAATTATGTCAAACTTCGATACAGTATCATATGATGGATTCGAGCCAGTTTTCTCAATCTTTGACCATCCAACACCAGCATCGATCCAATTCGACGATAAATAGACATTAGTAAGAAAACGATGAAGTGGCAAATTATTAAGAGTAGCAAAATTACTGAATGTTGCTACAAGAATAAAGACACTGCATGTACAAGAACGAAGAGGTTTTTGAAGAAAAAACCCCACTTTGAGTAGATTACCAACGTTGCCAAAAGTAACAAAAAAGAGATTCACATAGATATTAAAATAGCGTGTAAATGAATCGGTTTCATTACCATAATCAATTGAATTATTCATCGTTTGTTAATGCATATTTAACAGCAAAAATGGACCCAATAAGTATATTACGAATATTCTGGATTGAAATCAATAGAAAGTACCAAGCTTTTGATAATTGTTCGTGTACAATAATTATCGATAGATGGTAGATGTTCACTATTTGTTTTTCTGCTTTTCTCTAATCGGTGCCAGAAAATGAAGAGTGTTGTGCCCTCATCTATCAGTTTACTCAATATTTCTAGCAGCCATTATGAAAGAGAGAAAATGCGACAACACGGTCCTTTTTTTTGTAAGATTTTATAAGAGAGAAAAGTACGCGCCATTGACGTAGATGAGTAGCATGTTAGAATCGGCATTCTTTTTTTTTGTGACAATTAAGTCTGCCTTTCTTCTTTTTTGGCGTGCGATTCTTTTTTTGAATTTATCCATGACGCCAGCCATGATCGAGACATGAAAGCTAAATTATGATGAGATTGATGCTTTTCCTCATTCTCTCTGTCGATTATATAGAAGCGGAAGGGAAGGAAGAGTTCAAAGAGGAAATGATCGACAGGCGAACACAAAGGCCAGGAAAGCGAAGAAGAACAAACCAGAACGATGGTAGAGATGTGTCGATTCTTGTTCCAGATACGACAATGTCAACATGTGCTAACTCAATTTTCACTACACTGTATAGGTTTACTTTTACTTTCTAGACAGTCGAATTAGTAAAAGCTGAAACGCTCTCAAATTATTATTCATTGTCGAACAGTTTTATCATTTCCATAAAGTACTTGATTTTACGTTAAGTTGAGTTTCAATCCAATTTTTTGATAAAAATATTTTTGAAAGAATTGAAAAATCAACAATAGAGTTTTAAAATATTTCAAAATTATTTTCGAATTCATAAGAACTCAACATAACTTTTTGAAAAGTTATACAAACAATCATGACTGTAAAGCCATTGTTAAGGCATGTATATAAGTCAGTTGACGGTGTCTAGAATTTATTTGTCTCCGACGGCTACAGCACAAGTAAAAGTTACATGAAATGTAGCTGGTGTATTGGCCTTCGTAGAATAAAGAAAAACCATCAAGAAATTATTTTTTTATATCGGTAATGATATATATAATAAATATAATTGTTTTTCTGAAAATATTTCCGATATTCCTGTTTTTAAACTATACTCGTCCCTCATAATTTATTCTTTCGTTTAAAATTGATTGTTTTCTTGAAGACATTTTCTGATAAGAAAAGTGTTCATTTTATATAATTATACTTCCACTATAGTTTCTACTTATTTAATTTAGTAAATAAGAATAGTTCCCTAGTAGCTATGATGTTGTTTTTGTGTGAAAAGCAGAGCCTCCTTCCAATATGTATACGAAAACCTTTCTAAGATAATGATTGTCAGATATTTAATTGCGTATGAGAAAAGAGAGGTCAAGAACAACATCATGTTTATTGACACAAGAGAAAAAAATGGAACTATAACAAGATAGATGAAAGAAAGGAAGAAAATGAGGAACAACAACGTCAAGAGGAAACGAATATATGTAAATGCAGTGACTTGTCAGTACGCAGCTTTACAAAATAAAAAAAAAAGAAAACAATAGAAACACTTATTGTCACTAAATCACAATTTTTTTTTTCTTTTTGATTTTCTTAAAGTATACTACATCCACTAATACTTGGGCTTTTTCTTAATTGTCTATACGCTTTTATACTATAAGCAAAGTTAAGGCTATAAGTAAAATCAATATAGAGGTTAAAAGAACAATATACATAGTGAAGATGAAAAGCGATAATATTTACGGTATACCATAAATAGTGGCAGAGATAGTTCATTTCTTATAAAAGCTTAAATAAACTTTTTTGTATCTGAATTGATAGAAAAAACAACGCTCTGTTTTGCTGCACTACGACATCATTCATCAATTAATATCATCGTAATAAAATTTCGATAAGAGCTCTTTGTCTTGATATGTAATGATAACATCAGATCATATTTGTCGTCGATATATATTCTCTTCTTGATTGTTCTTCTCTCTTTTTTTTCTCCTTTTTCGTGTCTTTTAATGTGTAGCATTCTATATATATTAATTACGATACACAAAAAGTAATGCCGACAGAACAAAAAGAAATACAGAAATAAGTTGATTAAGTTTTTATTTCATCAAAGGTTCAAAATAATCGCTGTGATTATGCACGCACAATTGCATTCGTTGAAAACATATATTGAACTCTAGTGACGATCAAACAAGTGTAAGAAAAATAGGTACATGTAATATATATATATCTAAAAATATCGTTGTTTTTTGAATACTATAACAACTAAGTAGAAAAAAATATTAATCAATCTTGCTAGAGGCATAAACGAAAGAATACGAGACATAGTAATGCATAAAAAAAAATATAATTGACAAAATACTTTGATTGTAATTGATGGAATAAATTTTGCAACATTAAATTGGACTTGATGATGAAAGTAAATACAAAGAGGAACCTGCACAAACGTCAGGTGACATTGATATTGCACACCATTGTATGTAACATACACAAAACAATGAATTGTACTTGATCGGATGAGTGTCAATTGTCAATCGATTTCGCTGGTACTAATTAGTATACATCAGTAACATTTAATAGAGATCCTTGTAACAGTATTCTTTAGCTTCTGTCGTCTATTTTATGATGATGCGCAGAAATTTATATTAATTATGTTTTTGCATTACAACCATGGAACAAAATAACGATTTGTGACTATAGAAATCAGTTTTATTTCCAGTTCTCTGTTGAGAAACACTCTCGTAATAAGATACTTCAAAATTTGTGCAGGATGTAAAATAAAAACAATCTTTTCTGAGGTAGTGTGTGTTGAACATCGTAACAGATTTCTAGTTGTTTTTTTCTGTTTATTTTTCTATGCATATAATACAATTCAAATTAGTTTTCTTGCATGAAAGCAACAAACATACAACGTTATTCTATTACATAAATTGAAAGCACCTTAGAGAAAACTATCTACGTCCTAAAAGATTTTTTTGATATTCAGAACTTGTCAATCAGTTCTTCTGCATGAAAAGTAAAAGCTTCAGATAAAGAGCTTAATTAGACATTGCATCGAACTGTCGTCTACCAAACAAAAAAAATTTATGAGTTATTAAATGAGCTATTTTTAATTGTATTTCGATGACTATCTGTCACAAACGTCATGATATTGAGCTGAATAATTTACCATAGCATTTCCATTATAGTTTTCAAAATTTCATGTGATTTGAATACATCTGTCTCGAGATCGAATCTATTTCTAAGTAGGAGTAGTTTTTAACGATCTCTCAAGGAGTCAGAAAAATTCAAAGTTAGGATTTTGCGAGAATAATTGTATATCAATTCAATACAGAAGAAATTAATAATAACCATTTTATCAGATTGTGATCGATTTTCTTGCAATCATTTGACAGTGTATATGTAATAGCTGTGATGTTGACTCATAATGAACCGACGTAATTGATCCAATTTTGCTGAACTATAAATAGAGCATGTTTTTAATCATGTTTTCTCGTTTGTCATACCCTCTTTGACGTCATCAGCAATGACATAGAGTGTATTTCGAAAACGAGAAAAAAATTAATAGATTCGAGAATACATAGAGCAGTCTTATTAATGAGTGTATGTAATCTATTTTCAAGAGACGAAGAAAAAAGAAACATGTAAGCGACGTATCTTTTTCTTTAACTTTTATTAATTAATAAGTGTACGTCTTTGATGAATATTAAGGTGAAATACGAAAATAGTCGACAAAAATAATATATTAGTTCTCTATCTCTCGTTAATCGAAGCTATATATTTATTAGTAAACATAATCATAACTTAATATAGACGTGCGCACATTACTGATAACGATTACTTAAACTTCAGAAGTAAGCTTATCATTATTCTTATAGAAAATGATTTTAGTTTTGTTTCTTCTCTTGTTTAGTATCATTTAAATATGATGAAATTCATTGTCATTATCACCACTATTTTATTGTCTGTGACAATCAATTATACAATTCAAGATCTTATAATCACAGTTGGTTGCAAAGCAACAGGTTCATTTTGCATATCTCCAACACAATGTTGTAGTGGTGTATGTCGTGGAATTTGCATTTCTCCATGTCAACCAGTAAATGCACCGTGCAACAAATCAATTAATAATTGTTGTGACGGATTAACATGCAATCAAGCAACTGAAAGGTGTTGTCGATTGGTAGGTAAAACGGCTCTAACTCCATCGGAGTGTTGTAGTCATCAATGGAAACCATATAATATCGTTCGTGGCGGAAAATGCACTCATAAATGCAGACGAATAAATGAAACATGTGATGAACAAACAAATATTTGTTGCACTGGGTTACAATGTGGATCGTCGCCGACAAAATGCTGTCGACCAGCAGGACAAAGAGCTCTTTATCAAGCTGAATGTTGTTCGAAATATTGGATACCGGATTCAGTCGGCAATGGTGGAAAATGCTGTAGTCAACATGCAGAACCATGTTCAGATAATACAGACTGTTGTTCACCACTTGAACATTGTAAAAATACTACATGGTCTTATCTTTGCGTTTAAATAAAGACAATTTCATACATCGTATCATGCCAATCGTTAAGGCACAAGAGTAACATGTCTATTGATTTTGTTTAATACACAAATTTCTAATGAAAAAACTGTCTTACTGTACTAACATTGCTATATTCTCACAATCTCTTGTTTCATATATTTTAACTTTAATTAATTTTAAAAAGAAAATAAAATAAAATCAACTTGTTGCTCAATTGTTCTTTTGATTAGTATTTTCAACACATTCATGTATATCTCGAATCCAATCGAAGCTTAAAATTCACTATCTGAAAAAAGCATGTTCTGATGTGATAAGGACTCGAAAATGAATCCTTCTGATGAACTTTTCTGCCTGATACTTTAAAATCTCGATAAATTCATCTTGATAAGTCCATATCAATTGAAAAAATCGATTTCAGCATCCGATGTTTATCGACTGATTCTTGCCAAGCAACTTCAAATGTTTGAAATACGTTTATAAGAAAAATATTTTTCTTATTTACGTGTCTCTATTTTCGAACCTTTGATACTCGGTGGTCATATATACAGGACGAGATAAAGTCGAGATTCGAATATATATGTCGTAGGACAGATTGAAATCCAGTTCAGTTTTAAATCGAACTAGGATAGATTGAAATTTTAATTTATCCTAGTTTAGATCAAAATTCTGAAGTCAACTAGTTGATTTCGAAATGCATTTTAATGTGAACTAGTTGACTTCAAGATTTTGATCTGAACTAGGATAAATTAAAATATTTTAAACTGAACTAGGACAGCTTGAAATATTTTGATCTAAACCAGGACAGATTACAATATTTTGATTTGAACTAGTTCGGATTGAAATATAGACACTTGGATGGACGGTTGATGAGGGTGAGGGTGAGGATGAGCGCGAGGACGCGGATAACAGTTCCATCTTCACTCATTCTCATTCACCATACACTCTCGTCCTCATCCCGACACGTATCTTCAACCTGTCAGCCACGAATAATTTGGCTAAAAATTTTAATGTATCCTAGTTCAGATCAAAATTTTGAAGTTAACTAGTTGAGATTAAAATGTATTTCGAAATCAACTAGTTGACTTCGAAATTTTAATCTAAACTAGGAATAATTAAAATTTCAATCTGTCCTAGTTCGATTTAAAACTGAACTAGATTTTTATTTGACCTGCGACATATATATATATTTACGATTACTCAATATACGTCAAAATACTAAGCTAAGCGTAATTTAGCGTTCTAAGATGAAAGTTATGTTTTATGAAGGGATGAAAAATATTCGAACTACATTTTATAGCACTTTTTATTCAATTAATTTCCGACGGTTCAAGTACAACTTTCAAATACATTCTACTGGTACAATTCATGTAAAAAAAACGACAAAAGATTCGATTTTGATCGGTTTTAATCTTATCTATCGGCGTATTAGCTTACGCGAGTACGCATGAATTGGTGTCTCATGTGGCAGTGTATGAAAGATAGGGCTAGTACTATACTTACCATTTATTGGCGCAAAATGTTAGAAAGAAGAAACAAAAGTTGGAGAAAAACGCATTTTATAGTCATAGCAATTAAAATCGATTGAAAATTAAATAATCGATTAAAAATAAATAAAAATCATTAAAATCACATTTTTTGTTGTTTGTTTACATGGAAGGTTTCAAGTGATTCTTATGGCTTGGGTTGGATTTTCCAATATCTAACTTTGAATGAGATTATGACAAAATTTAAACGACTTCAAGATTTCAAATAATTGCAGATTTTCATAACAAATAGAGTGATCACAATGGTGCTTTCGATAGAGCTATTCTTGTGGAGTATTTGACATCTATTCGATTTATGAACAATCGAAAGTAAGAACTTGATGAATTGTTTCACATAGAGTCGTCAGCAACTCAATGAAACCTATGCTCGCGAATAACAGATCGAATCGTGCCAAATGTGTCGACGGTAAGTTCTTATAGGATGGCCGAAAAAGTTAAAACTTCGAGGGTTTCTGAATGCTAAAAGTTGCATAGATGATTCCAGAAGATGGAACCAATGAGAATGAAGATACAACAAATTTATATTCGAAACAATATTCAAGATCTTGTCAAAGTTCTTTCATGCAACAAAAGTTGAACTGAGATTGATCGAGAAAGAATCGAGGTTTTTCGACAATGAACTCTCGCTCAGTTGTCGTTCGATTCTTACTTTTGAGAATATTGGAGATTGCCATTTTCTTCTACTTTGCAATGGAATATTGCTTGTAATACATTCATTCGAATTCGTCATCGATTCTAAATTATTAAAGCTAATTCTCAAACCATAAGTCATCATATTGTTTCTTATTTATGATACACCGATCATAGATGAGTATCTGCTTTCAGGTTGACGATTGTCGATTATTAACTACAAATAAAATTGTTATATTGTTTTCCAATACTATCAAACAAAAAAGAAAGGACACTAACTGAGAGAATAACTTTTCTATCAATTCCGATTGACTAATGGTGGTTGTGTTGAAAAAGCAAATATTTGAAATTCAATCGCATTTGATAATTGCCATCAAGAATGACAATGTTTATTTTCACTATGAGCAATAAAATATCATTATGTTAAAGACATTCGATGAAATTGAAGATAGAGGCGAGTACAGGTCAGAATGAAAACTTCGTTATACTCGTTTTCATGACTCGTTTGCATTTAACATATCGATGTAGTATCGTACAATGTCGCTATATTCACTCTCTTGGAATCATTGTATTAAAAAAATGATTGCTCGTGATCATACCAGTTTTGAACGAGATAACTACATCATAAAACATAACATCATTATATCGACAGTATTACTAGCTCAAGTGATTGCACTAATGATAGAATAGATTAAAAGAGATAATGAATATCACCAACTGAGATGTTCCGTTACTCATCATGATTGGCGTACTTTAAGGTATTATATTTTGAATTTTTCGAATGAAATAGATCATGTTTTTTGTTTTGTCATGTATTCGTTTTTATTTAGATATTGAAAGAATACCAATGAATTGGGCATAGTATTGATATGTAGAATTTTATTATCAAATCTATTCGAATAAAAATAGATCAGACAGATCATCATCTTAAATTGTAACATTATCAATAATTATATTAATAAAACCATTTCATACTGAAAATATTCCTTCACTGAAATTAACATCCATCAACTAAACCTTTCGATAGCTAAATGAAACACGTGACATTTATTGAAAATTCATCTATTCCATTAGACATCAATCTACATGATCATGATTCACAACTCTCGATTCAACTATCTATTCTTCACAATTGATCTGATGGCATTAGACGACTACCATCTATTTCTATTTTAGTACACATGCAACAAACCGATACAATTCGATTCTCATTCATTTAGCAGATGAATGAACTTTCATCCATATCAACGCGAAGCTACGCCGATATTACTTATATTTACATATAATATCAAAGCAGATAAGAATAAAATGCTTCGATCGTCCCTTTTCGTACTAATATTTCATAATTGAATCTATATAGTGTTAAAATGATATTTTATTTTAGAAATGAATCATCAATAATGAATTCTATAAGTAAATTTAATGTTTTGCAAAATAGTCAATGACAAGCGATCCATCTAAGTGTAATTTCAAATTCTTGACAAATTCTTTGTGATCATCATGATTACTGTATGTATCAAGATCTTCTTGATTAGTAAAAGTAAGACAAAAAAAATGTGTATATCCTTGATTGCGATTATCTTTTCCCGTATGTGTACCCCATTCGAATTGCTTGACTTGATTAATTTTGACTGTAGCCAATGTTCGAAATTCTTGTTCGAGTCGAGATATATCTTCTGGTTTGGTATTCTCTTTGAATTTGATCAATACAACGTGACGTAACATTTCTTGGTTAGTCGATGCCATTCGAACGAGTGTTTGTTTAGATGTGTACCCTTACAGCGTTTGTTGACGATAATCGGAAAAAAAAGAAGGAAAGAAAGACAAAACGCAACTGCACTACATTAATAGTGTGGCATTACTCTCGTTTTCTTTTCCTATAGAACAAATATTGACGAATGCTGAAGGTTTCGGTAGTTCTCGCTAGTTAACTGTATATTTGGAAGAAGATAGATGGATATTAACAACTGAATATAAAAGAATAATTTCATTATTTGAATAGCTGCTTCGTTTGTCTGATAAATTCTGTACACTTTGTTTTTTTTTATATAAATACTTAAAGCACGTATTACTTAACAATTAATTATAAGATACAGGTCTTCAAAAAAACTTTTATTTTTTATATTAAATGACTAATATTAATTTATCATACTACAACATTTTTTTATCAACTATTCCACGTGAAAATTTATTTTCTTTTGAATTATTTAAATGTTCAATATTCAATTTCAGCCCTTCTTCTTTACATTGAATGAACAAATAAGTGACACTTTCCATGTTGTATGCATGTATGTATTTTCATGCTTTATTTAGTACTGAAAATCTTTAATTAGTCTATGATATTCAAACTTGGTGTTCTTGATCAAAATAAATAGATTACTGAATGTCATTTAAATTGATACGAATATTTATTTGATAGTACTAGAGATTAAATAGTAACATATACAAGCCTAAAATAACTAGTTTACAACATGAGATTGAAAAAGTAAATACATTACTATGATACGTAAAAGGGTCAATATTATGCTGAACTCTTTCTGAGTATATTCATATACTAAATATTTAAACTTGCTTTATTAAAAGAATTGAATCTTTTTTGAGAATAAATGAAATAAAAATGTTGCCATCATTTATTAGATTTTGAAAAAAGTTTAAAGCTTTATTCTAAAATTTAACAGACAATAATTGAAACAACTTTTCAAACATATGAATTATACTGGCAAGCCGATGTAATTGTACTTGCTTCAATACATTGAATATCTTCATTTAAATTATTTTCCTCTCGAAATTTCGATTCTTTTGCTTGTAAGACCAAAATCGTTCATTGAGGTTTAGCACAAATGCTTTCTTTGTAAGACAAGATATTAACACGAGTCTAGAATCGTGTGTCGAGAACTTCAGTACTATTCCTTAAAGCAAAGGAAAAACATCTAGTAAAAAATAGCCTTCTATCAAGATAGAACAAACGTTTTTTCTATCAATACTGCAAATGAATGTCGAACCTACTGAGCAAACAATGTGTCGTAGATCGTTTTTTCTATTTGCATCCTGAATGTTTCTTCTTTCCCATCATTCTCATATTTTTGTAAATCATGTCATGTACCACAACTTGATGAATCAGGGGGATGCACACACCAATCTTATAAACCACCAGACATTGAGGACAGACACATTGAAATGTCCAATCTTTTCAAAGTTTATCCTTTTCTTCATCTTACAATAGAAATAAAAACCTATATTGATTTTACTAATATTAATTAAATAACTTTTTCCAATTGATATAAAAACATGTCAAAAGATTCTAATAAAACATGTTTACATCTATAATTATTCTAAGTAGACGTCCTATACGATTGAGAAATTCTCAAAAACTATCATGCTCATTTCCAGAAAAGATTCTATCGTAGGTTTTATGTAGAATTTGACGTGTTTGTGGAGATTTCTTTCCAAAAAAAAAATAACATTTACTTTAGGAGCAAGATTGAGAATTTCAAAAGATTAATTAAGCCATTTGCTTGTTTTATCTCGTAAAACTGACTATCATATATCTTGTCATAAAGATTAACTCAAGTTGATTGCTTATTAATTTTTCTTCAAAAAACAACTAATCTGATTCTATCTTGAAACCAGTATTGACATGAGTTTTGACACTTATGAAACAGTTGTTTTAGAACATTTTTCCATTTTTATATCCAACGACGATTTTAATTGCAGCAAAAATCCTATTGAAATCTAATCAAATAATATATTGTTATATGGTAACAAACTATAATCTACATACTAAGGTTTTACTATGACACTTCAAGAACTTCATGACTAGAAGTCATTACTTGTACAATTAGGTCAATCAAATTTTTGCATACTAACATGCATGTATTTAAAAAAAAGCATGTTATAAATTTGAGTGAAATGCTAATACTCAAGTCATTATAATAATATTATGCTTATTGTCGTGAGCTACAATAATAAATTAAAAATAAGATTATCATTAATTTGGAGGAAAGCGATTGCTTTTAACAAAAGAAAATTTTCTTTCACATATTAGACGTCATTTTGCATTTTTTCGATACAAGTCAGGTTGGAATAGATGGTAAATTCATTGTTTGAAATGTTCAAAGAATATTACCATGATGACAACATTTTTTCTGCATCATTCAGTATTCAGAGCAGATATAAATGCCAAAAAATAAATAGCTAGTGAAAACATCATAGACTAAATTTTAAAACCTCTATTTTTATTTTATTTTCTCTTAAGAGCAGCTACATTCAATAACACGCATATCATTTTGCAGTTTAACGCTTAAATTTGGTCCATCATAGTATAAAAGTATCATTGGTAAAAAAACGTTTTAGTTTTGCAACAAAATGTTGGTATTTTTTTCGGATAGATTGGATTGAGTAACTTTTACATAGTAAAACAAGAAGACTTTTTTGCATTTGTATGACATATACCAGAACAAATATTCGTTTCATATGCACTTGGTTCAATAATCCATGACGTCCATTCAAGTTCGGCAAATGATGTATGTAATGGAAGAACTTGACAAGATGTTGAACGTTTTGAATATTATATTAATTGATTATCATCAAAGAATGATGATAAATCCCGACGAATTATTACATGTATTAATAATGGTTGTCGAAAATATAATGTAGAAAAAAACCACATGAATAGTTGAAAATTTTCTTATTGTTTAATGAATAAAATAAATTCAACAGGAATTAGGTTTTCAAGTGATCAAATATATTGAAAATGATAATTTGAATAACTATTTTGATTAGAAAGAATAAGCATAGAGTCTAAATTGTCGAATAACGATAAACTGAAATTTGAAACATTTCATTGACATTTTGTTCTTTTTCGAATATTTATTTGATCATATATGGAACATATTAATGAATACATTGTTATCGATGATGAAACAGGTTGATTTGATGATATATTTAAAAAGTCTTAAAATAAAGATAATTGCTTTCTATTTTCTGAGGACAATATTGCAGTTGCCGTAACTTGCAAGAAAAGTCATATTTAAGAATTAGACTGTAATACATAATTCAGAAGACAACAACAAAGATTGTTAATACACTTAGATTACTGTATATTATTAGAGAATTTCTTTTCCTTACGTAAATCGTTAAGGGAGACAAAATTACATTCTCAAATGAGATTCGAGGATAAAAAAAACGAAAACATCTTCATTATAGAATGCAAGTGTGAATATCGCTGTAGTTTACTAGCAAAACCGGATCCATGCACATCCACACTTTTGTCTCTGTATAGAATTTCAAGTTCAAATTCGAACATAAATTTTTCTGATGTTACCAAGGAGGACCACGCTATTTATTTAAAACTATCGTAAAAGTCAAGTATTTTGATAGCAATAAGGCAAGGATTTGAACTGTTTCCAAGTTATACATAGTTTATTTGTTTATATATAATGTACGTAGACTCGATTCAAAAGAAACTTATCATTTGGAAGGCTTTTCTCGTAAGAAAATCTGGAGATTGAAATGAAATCAAGCACTTATATGGTGTATTGATTTAATAATAAGTCGTGAAGATTTATAACGAATCGTTTATATAGCATCAAATAGTAATGATGTAGTTGAACAACTTCCTCAAATATTTATGAATATATAAAATCGATAAGAAAACGCGTCAAAGGAGAGCCAACAGCACCTACACCACTGTTATATGAATATAAAAATTAATTAATGTCTTTCAAAACTTATCTTTTTGAAAATTAACATAAATTCTGGTATTTATTTCGATGTCATACAGAAAAAATTAGGATGAGAATACATTCGATCAACTTCTACTTTAATTGACATGTATCATTTATTACTAATGATAAAAGGTCAGAAAGTTAAAAAGTTTTAAAAAACTAAATTTTTAATAATCATTCAATTCCATAATGTAAATATTTCACAAGTTACTAATCAAAAATTAGGTTCGCAATTGTCTTAATTTAATACTTTCAAGTTAACGATGATGATGATTGTCGATTTATAAAAAGAAATATACTAAAATTATTTACTAAAAACGTTACTATGCATTCTGTTAAAAGAAGAAATAATTTCAATTTTGATGAAGATACTGTTGTTGTTGTCGTTGTATTTTCGATAAGTGTCATCGTTTTATTGTCTTGCTTTTTCTCTCTCGATTTATTTAACATTCCATTGAATGAATTAATTGCATTTGACTTATTATTATATACTTCAATGAATTGGAAAAGAAGATGTATCGTCATTCTCTGTAATCAATAATATAATTATTCAAGTTGTCGTAAGTAATTGAATGAAAAACTTCTGAGAAATATGTCTGATTCTTCATTGTTATAAAGCAATTGCCGTGAGAGAGAAAGAAACATATGTTCATATTTTTATCTAATGAAGACGACATTAATAATGCATTTTAAATTAATCGATACGCAAAAGAATACTCATGATGACAGTTAGACAAAAATTTGATTTCGTTTGTAAAAGAAAAAGAAAACAATTGTGTCAGTATTTTTCTAAAGTTAATCGAGTTGAAATAAAGTCATTTGTATTGACTTAGGTTTTGGATCCAATTTCGTTTTATATAACTCATATTTTTTTCTTCTCTCACAAATACATGTGTTACTCTTATTTTTCTACTTAATCTTTTTATTTATTTTTGGATTGTCATATTTCAAAATATTGCAAAGAATAAAGAATGACATAAAAAAAAAGAAATCAGCAGATTAAATTCCATGGATCTGTATTGAAATAAATATGCATCGTTGTAAAACCACCAACTTGATGAAATTTGACTGGCATACATGTTGGAACAGGTTTTAAGAATGACTGAAAATTTAAATGATATAAATCGATATATTTAAATTGAATAAAAAAAGCTTCTTTAAACTTACAGAAATAGCTGATAATGGGGGGAATTCAGTTCGTTTTGTAAAATCATATTTACCAAATAAAGCCCAACCAAATCCTGTTAATTTACCTTTGTTGTACAGAAGAAAACTAGGAAAGTATGTTTCGCAATCTGAATCAAGTCGATTGTCATACCAGTAATGAACACCTAAATAATTTGATATAAATTTTTTTTTTGACTTTTATATGATATAAATATTTTACCCATCGATGGAAAACATGCACCTTTAACCCATTTTGTTTTGTCTGCGTCAGTTTGATTTATTGGTATAAGAGTTGAATCACTAATTGGATCAATACCATTTTGTAACCAAAGTCCTGTTCCTACGATATGTCTATCACGATAATTTGTATTTTCATCTGATGTACAGATTGTCTTTGGGTCAATAAAATATGCTGTTAGAATATAAACATCAACACCAAGAATTGTATCTCGATTAAACATTTTCTGTTGAGAATATTTGTAATACGTATCATTAATCATCGAAGCTGGAATCTTTTTTATATGAGAAAAAAAAAAAATTTTCTCTACATAAATCAAATGAAAATTTCATTAACTTACACCCATTTGTATGCCAGCAATAAAACCTTTACTGTCATAAATTAAAATTACAGCAAAATCTCTATCTTTTATAAAACGTTGTCCAATAAATTTTCCTACAAATATTATTTTTAATTAGAAAACAATACACTAAAGTAAATAAATGAATTTACCTTGACATGAATTTGAAATCTGTTCGAATCCGTCTTTTTTTGCATCTTCAATCGTTAATGGTTGTTTAACATAATAATGATGACTAAGTGGATTCGGACCCCAAGTAGTGCTTAAAGTTTTCCATTCAGGTCCAGAGTCACTTCCAAATAAAAATCCACATGCTTTTCAATGAAAAACACATATTATTTGATAGTTCATAGTCATTTTATCATGATATATTTCCTACTCCAAGGTAATAATTACTTACCTGCATTGATGCATAAAAACAATATTCCAAAAGTCGATTTCATTATGATATTGCAATATTGTTACTAAATCATCGCTCCCTTTTATATGTTTCATATTCCTGCTATCAGAAATTGACACCTGTAACAATTAATTTTTAAGCCCAATAATTTCTTTTTTAAGTCAAGAGATAACTTTTCTCTCTGACTAAATATATATTTTTAATGATTCCATCAATCCGTATAAAAAAAAAAGAATGAAAGAAGATACATGTAGAACGTTATAAGAAGCGGACACATACATAATCATCTATGTAGTTTGATCCAAGGACATCAAGAAGACAAAAAAAAAGTCGAGAAAAAAAAAATTTATGCATGTATACAGAAGAGAAAGAAAAAACCAATGTTTGATCAAATTTACAAAAAACGGCTTGATGATGAATGAACAAAAGATAATAATTGAGAACATATAAAGAGAAAAAAATATATATTTATAAAGAAGCCCATTTTTTGTTTTAAAGTTTCCTTTTTTTTTTTTCTATTGCAAACTGACTGTAATATAAGGGCAAAAATAAACATGCACATCTTCCCAATGGCACATGGATAGATAACGGAATAAGAGACAAAAAGAAAAAAAAAAGAAAGAAATCATCACACAAGAGTGGCAGAATTTCCATGATTATTATTAAGCCAACCAAGTACATCATCAGAAAATTCTTCAGCAACATGTAAACTTCCAGAATTAGGTCTAATCAAATAAAAAACAAATACATTCAAGTGTTTAGATCAAATAAAATAACAATATTGAGAAATAAGATTTCTTACCCTGATGATTGTGAACTCGATGATTGTGAACTATGTGGACGAAAAAGTAATGCTGATGATTGATTTTGATTATTCGTATTTAAACGACTTGTTGATACTTGTGATGTTGGTACCATTGAACTTGATTGTGTACGATTATATGATTGAGATTGATATCTTGTTTGAGATGGATTCATATGTTCTAAACGTCGTACAAGTAATGGCGATGTATCATATCGTTGCATTGATTGTGGTTGTTGTTGAGGTGGTACTGGTGGTGGTTTATTTGTATATGTTCCATTATAGAAATTTTCAGCAACAAGACCACGAATATGCGTATGTGGATGTGTTGATACATCTTTCGAACCTGATATTGTATAATAACTATCTTTTGGTGTTGATATTGTTGTTGATGATGATAATGATGAATCAAAATGTGGTTGAAAGACTGATGGTGGTGGACGACGAGAACGATTTGATGATGATGTTACTGGTAATGGAGGTGGTGTTGAATCGATATGATCAAATGCTTGTTGTTGTTGTTGAAGTACATTACCAACATTAACAACAGTTGATGTTGTATTTGTTTGTGTTGGTAATGTTGGTGTTAAATGATAAAAATCATGTGCTTGATTATCATTTTTATTAATACGATCATTTTCATCATTAATAATTGTACCATGTAATGCTGGTTGGGATACTTTACTATGTTTATTACGTTCAAGACTGCCATATATGTCTGTATGACTTGATTTCATGTGAGTTTTTGATATTGTTGAATTAATTGATGAATTATGTGGTACACCACGTATATGTCGTCTGTCAAGACTACGCATATGTGATAGTTGTTGTTGAGTTTGTTCATCAGGCATTGCATTACTTGTTGATGTTGTTTTTTGTGCTTGACGTAAGTTTGGTTGCTGTTTACGATCACGAATTCGATTACGAGATGCATTATTTGAAGAATTCATTGGAGGAGGCTGAAGAATATATGCTGTATGTTGTTGTTGTTGTTGTTGGCGATTATTTGATGAATCAGGAGGTAAACCACTAACAAGACGATCAAATGATTGACTAAGAAAAAAAAAATAAAAGAATTAATCTAACGATTAGAAATATACGTGAACAGGAAGAGTATACTGCCGCCTTTGAGCTACCTTGCGGTATGACGTATTGATCAACGGTTGACGCAACGATTTCATATCTTTCTTACAACTAATACTACACGTAGCTATCAACAGGAGACTGATCTGATTCAGAGCTCTTGCATTCAATCACTTGAGTTTCCTATGCATACTAGCTAATCTTCAGAGTAGATCTATGTCATAAAGTAGTCAGCATGCTATCAGACGGATGATCTGAGATAAATAGCCGCTAGTAACTTGTCTAGAATCATTCCATGCTTGATAGTACTGAGGTTAAACACAGTACCTTGTGACTGCGTGCCAACAACGCAACTACTCAACCATGGTGATCTTTCTTTTCGTGAACAGATATAGATCATTTAGTTTTCTTTCCCTTAGTTCTTGATTTTTTTAAAAATAGTTTCTTATAGATTGTAATAATAAAATTGAGTATACCTTCTATCCAATGGTGGCGATAATAAAACTTGATTATCAAATTCAGATGAATGACCATCTATAACTGCTGATGGAGTTGAACGTTGATTATTGACTAATGCTCGTTTATATGATGAAGTACGATTTAGTTGCTGCTAAAATATACAAATAGAACTCTGTTTGTTTATGATTAAATAATTTCAATGTTAACTTACGGTTGGTGAAGGACTATTTTGTTGTTGTTGATATCTTTGAACATATGAATTTGAAGATGGACTACCACTTGTGGCTGTTGATGAAATAACTAAAAAATAAATTTATTTTATATGAAAAATGGAATTCATTTTTATAATTTACTTGGACTACTTTCAGCATAAGGATAACGAGAATTAATTTCTTTTTGCACAGTATCGATTAATTTTGTTAATCGATCAAGCTAAAAACGAAAGAAAAATCAATATAGATAATTAATAAGAATTAGATTTGAAAGACAAAAAAAAACAAAGCATTATTTACTTTTTCCTTCACACACGTATAAAATTCAAAACGTTGTTTTAAAACTGAATCTAATAAATTTGAATTTCCTTTTGCTTGATCATGTAATAGTTTTTTTGCACATATTACTATTTTGCTTTGAATGTCATGCTCTTGTTTTAATTGATTTAATTTTGCTCTCTATTTAAAAAAGAAAATTTTTTTCATGTATATTCATAGCAAAAAACAAAGAAGTTAATCCATTCTCTCTCAAAAAATCGATCTTGGACCAGGTAAATTTTCAAATCGTATAAAACTCCTAGTATACGCTGTAGTGAACAGACAATGGTAAAGTTGTTAGGCTTATATCATGATGTTTTCGTGAGATATTCAACAAACAAGGGTTCAACATAACTTATTTCACAATTCGAAATTCTTTGTCGGCCTTAGTTCTATAAGCGGAGAAAAAAGATGACAAGGTCAATGTCTCAAAAAATAGTGCCCCAATTATAAAAGTAATCTTATGTAGTAGTAAAAAAGAGAGAATCTTTCATGTCCTCGATATTGATATACTCTTTCAAAAAAATAATTTAATATTTAAAATGAAGATCCACAGTGAATTCTGGGTTTTCACGATCAAAAAAGCTTTATCGCTCTTTTTTGAACATAACATATTTTTCGAGCAGAAAGCAATGGAAATCATCAATAATTTAAGCAATAAACGAGATACCAAATAAAAAAAATCATGTCATTTATGAAAAAGCAGACATCGGGTTATCTTCGATTTCGATTTTTCTGATCAAAATTGAATTTTTTAAGGGGCGATGGTCATAAGACAAATAAGAAATATTTTTTTAAAGATAGTATATATTTTCTAACGTTCATCATTACAGAGCAGCATTATTCTACAAGTATTTCTAGATATTTTTAGGATTAAGTGACGATTTTTCTAATATTTGCCGACAAATTTTTTTTTGGAATTGAGATATTCACCAAAAATTTGGATATATGTGTCTAATGATTTGATTAAAAAAAATTTCAGTACTTCTGCCCCCGCTTGTATCGAGCTTTTTTTTGACTAAATAAATCGATTTTTATCTTATCTAAGCTGAAATTTTTCATTTTTCATTTGTGATTTTTTTTAATTTTCTTCAGCTACTGTTGAAACTTTAACTAAGAATGTTTTATGCAACACATGTGAACCTTCTTATCCAACCGGACAAATATTAGGATATGATATTATTGAAATCTTATTTGCATTTCTTCATCAATGATTCATGCATTGAGAATTCAATTTGATTATCTTGAGATATGAGTAGAGACCGAAGAATTGTTGTTTATACTAGTCTGCCTATAACATTTGGTATATTCATAAGTACACCCTTATTCTAACATTCATCAATAAATTATTATTTCAATCAAACTCGATAACCATTGCCCTACTTTTGCTATCGATCGAATCTTGTTCGTATCTAAAAGTTCTTCTGTCACGCTAAATATTAATTCTGTTACGTCTATAGAGGATTCTTCTGTCAGTCGTTGGTGTCTCGAGACATTTACAAACGAACATATATATATGGGCGCGATCAACCGTCCGGATACCCCATTTTGATGCAGTCCTATTGTAAGGATAAAATATACTATTGTTCGGGTTATATAAGAGAGGATCCTAGATAACCCTGAATTGGCCCGAACAATATCATGTTTTATCCGTACAATAGTAGAGAAAAGCTACCAACTCACAGGATAAGCTCGTAGCTTTTCTCAACTATTGTACGGATAAAACATGATATTGTTCGGGCCAATTCAGGGTTATCTAGGATCCTCTCTTATATGACCCGAACAATAGTATGTTTTATCCTTACAATAGGACTGCATCAAAATGGGGTATCCGGACGGTTGATCGCGCCCATATATATAATTTTGTTTCTTTACCTCTTGTACTTGTTCATTTAATAGTTCATCAACAACATGATATTTTAATTCTTGTTGTATTCCACTATCATTAATATTAACATGATCATCTGATGCTCCACCAGTAACTTGCTAGAAGACAAAAAAAAAATAATAATCAATCATAATCAAAAGTCTTTTTTTTTAATTTTATTTTAACAAACATTTTCAAGTACGCAAATTAAACCAAAATCTTTCATTTTTTCATTCAATAAACTTTCTAATTGTTGTTTCCGTGTTTTCATTAAATCCATTAATTGTTCAACATCAGCTTCA